ATGACCCTCAGTGTTGATGAGGATATGGAGGAACCAGAACTCTCAGTGCTTGCTGGTGGAGTGCAAAATGGGACTAACAGCAAATAGGCCTGGCAATTTCTTCTTTGAGGTGACACCATGGATAAGTAGACTGTCGTCCACTGTCCAGTTAGGTTCAGGGTTAGCCTTAGAGCTAGGGTTCAGGTGAGCAGTTTCTCTGATTGAGGTGAGGTGATAGTGAGATAGCTAAGAAACCTTGTCCTTGGCCCTTCTTTCTGTGACAGCCCAAGAGGGACACGGTTTGGCCATGTCACACCCCTCCTCCTCTTCACTTCTCTTTGCTTCCTTTCTGTCCCCTTATCCTCCCTGCTCCCTCCAACTCTTATCCCCCTTCCCATTTGGAAAAGCTTTATTTCCATTTCTCCTTCAGTTCCCTTTGCTTTAATCCTTTTTCCCTTCCCTCTCTCTCTTGTTCCCCTTCCGATTTGAAAAAGACCTCTTGGGCCAGGGGTTAGCTCAGTAGTGTGAGTGCCTGCCTGGCAAGCATGAGGTCGTGAGTTTGATCCCTGGTACCAATTTAAAAAAAAAAAAGATCTCTCTACTTCCTATTGGCTAGCCTTTATCTTGGTCAACATTTATATTCTGGGATTTCTCACATGAGGAAATCATGCAATATTTCAACTTGTGTGTCTTATTTCACTTAAATTGTGTTTCTAGATGCATTCATTTACCTATAAATGCCTTGAGGTTTTCCTTCTCTGTGGCATCAACAAATGAGATCCTATCAAAGTACAAAGCTTCTGCACAGCAAAGGAAACAACGAACAGAGTGACGAGATAACCTACAGAATGCAAAAATTTTTTGCCCCTATTCCTTGGTCAGATGGTAACATCCAGAATACATAAAGAACACAAAGTCTGAGGCAAGATTTTTGTGAGTTCAAGATCAGCCTGAACTACACAGAATGACCCTCGCTCAAAAAAAAAAAAAAAAAAAAAAAAAGAAAGAAAGAAAAGAAAAAGGAAGAAAACAAAAAGAAAGGAAGAAAAAAATGCAAAAAAATTAAACCCTTCAAAATAAAAGATTCAATCAAAAAAATGCAACCAAAATAGACATTTCACAGAAGTACAGATGGTCAGTAAAAATACTTGAAAAAAATGGTTAACATTGCTGGCTATTAGAGAATTTCAAATTTATACATTAAAAAAATTGAGATTCCATCCTACTCCAGAAGGAATGGCTATCATCAAGAAATCAAATAATAGCAAATGCTGGCAAGGTTGTGGAGGAAAAGAAACTCTACTACCTTGCTGGTGGGCATGTAAACTAGTACACTCACTACGGAGATGAGTATGGAGATTCCTTGAAAATTTAAAAACAGAAATTCCACTTGACTCAGCTATTCCCCTGCTGGGTTATCTTCCCAAAAGAGTTAAAGACATCATGTTCCAGCCATAGGTCCACACCTACCTGTAAGAGATAAAACATTTTTCATTGGTCTGTATTTCATCAACCACCCTAAGAAGCCCTCAGACTTATCTTGGTCAACTATCAGTCCCAGAGATAAGGTTCTGGGGTTAGATAAAGGTAATTGCTAAATAAAATTTTCCCAATCCTGGGAAGCCAAAGGGCTGAAAGTTAACTACAAAGGGCTGGAGGGGGGAAGAGAGAAGAAAGGGCTGAGGGGAGGGAACATTATGTTGGGCTGAGACAGACTGCTCAGGGCTGTGAATCCCGGGTGCAGGCCTTGGGGCACCGAAGGGGAGTCCCACAAGGTAGAAATAAAGGCCCACAGCTTCTCACCTGAGGGGCACCTGTCTGTGCACGTGGCACCACTCTTGCAAGAATGTTTGTTGTAAAAAAGAGAGGGAAAAAAAAAAAAAGAAAAAGAGCTCTAACGGATATAACAGCAAGTGTGTTTAGGGGTGTTAAATAGCTGACTATATCAATGTTTTTGGATCATTGAACACAGCTGTTTGCAGTCTCCCTGTTTGAATGTCCACCTCGTATTCTTTGATACTGTGATTTGAGCAACTATTTTCAAGATGATAATATGTAATCTATTAACAGGTGATTCCTTACTGTTTTTTGTTTTTTTTTTGTAGTTCTTTATTACGTGTACCCTTACACTGCTTTGTTTTGTTTTGTGTTTTTCTCTTAAATTTAAAAAAAAAAAAAAAGAATGTGAGCCAGGGATGTAGCTCACTAGCTCAAGCGCTTGCCTGGTAAGTTGCAAGGTAGTGAGTTTGATCCCCAGTACCACAAACAGTGTGGATTAAAGCCTCTCTTTCACTGTCTCTGGAGTCCAGTGTTTTGGGAGTGTGGACAGTGAATTCATTTCTTACATCATGCTTATAGCAGCACAGTTCATAATAGCTACATGTCCCACAACCACTGAATGGATAAACAAAATCTAGTATTTATCCACCTGCCTCAAGGTTAACTTGTGGTCACTCTGACAGCTGTACTGAGTTTACCCTGATTATAACCCCGAGCCTGGAGGTCAGCTTGGCGGGCAGCTCGGGTGCCCTTCCCCCACTCCCACTGCCCTAGACACTGCTGTGGCCTCTAGAGAACCGGCAGGAAAAGCACCTCCATACGGCAGATAGAAGGGAGGGATCCCCCCATCACTCACACCCTGACATCCCCAGACTCTAATAAGCCACGATGAGTCCAGCCAGCCCTCCCAGAAAGTCCAGATTTTAGCCTCATTATTTCCATGGAGATGTGGCAGCTTTCAGTTAAGCAGCTGTGTCTCCCCATGCTCCCCTGCACTGCTGTCCTGACAGCCCCAGCTGCACTGGAGGCCTCACACCACCGCAGGAAGTGGCTACTTCACTACAGCCGCCTTGAGTGTAAACCTAGCACTACAGCTCAATTTGGACCCCTAAGTAAGCTAGAATCAGAGTAGGCTCAGATTTGGACCAATCACAGGCTTGAATTTGGAGCAGACGCAAGCCTGCTGCTGCTGTGTAACCTCTCAGACCTCCCCGATTGGTCCTGAGGGTGCTCACGCTACGTCCTGCACTGCCCCACCTGCGCTGCAACACCCTCACCCTGCACTGCCCCACCTGCGCTGCAAATGTACCCTCACCACCCTGGTCCTGTAAATCTGCTTGGAATCCTGGCCAGTGTGGGCACAGTGGTTGCTTTTAAAAGAGCTATCAATATTGAGGGTAAATACTACAAGCTAATGGCCCTGAAGAGCTCCAGAGAGCAGCAGCAGAGGTTGGCGAGGACTGGTGGATATAGTAGTTACTGGAGGCAGCAATGGGCAGCAGCTGAGTCTAATGGCAGTGACTGGCAACCCAGAGTTAGGACCCAGAGCCACCAGCTGAGCTGTGCTTTGCCAGTTAGTGATTTCTCTCCACAGGGAACAGCACCCTGAACTGACTGACAACACTGTACTGGCTGATCCCAGCAGGGGCTGAGCTTGGGGGGAATCTCCTAGCAGCTCCCATCATGCACTGGGCCTCACCGGCTCCTCCAACCAGTCCGGGTCCCCCGGGGCTGCTTTGAAATCGTGCCAGAGCTGGCAGGGCTCCCTTGAGTTCCTGGGTCATGTTTAACAGCTGTTGACTTTGGTAGTGTCAACCTGATCAGGAACTTTCTGGTGCCTTTTAATACTTTGCTGGGACCAAGAAAGAGCTGCAGTTTTCGGCTCAGATTGGATGCCTGGATGATGAAATGTGCTGAGCCCCCTCCCAGCAGCCTCAGCTCCCTGGGCGCCAGGGTGGCCTCATTTCCCCCTCTGCCTCCAGCCAGAGGCCTGGGTGCACCGTCTGCCCCCGAGGGCCCTCCCTCTATCCCCTTCTCCAGCCTCCTCACCCTGTTCATTCTGAAAGCCGGGGATACCAAGTCCCCCTCACTCTCTCGGAAACCCACAAGGTCTTGTTCCTCAGTGCTGCCATCACCCACCTCCGTCAGGGGCCAGCAGGAAGCCAGCAGTGACCAAGTGCAGCTCAGCCCTTACCTCTGCCCTGGTCAGGGTGTCGTCCAGGCGTCTCCAACTTGTCTAAAATGTGTAGTAAACACAGTGGAAATGTAAGGATGTTCACTTCTCAACAAATAAAATGTTCTATAAAGGCTAGGAAAAAAAAGAGGGGGCTGCCCACAGTGGTTCTCTATAATGATGCTGTCCTACTGACAGGCCACCCAGAGCATGGGACATCTTGGTGGGCATTTGGTTAAATGCCTTTGAAATAATATCAAAGTCGCTTGCCAACCCACCTCCTCAGGAGATGTTACACAATTTTACGTGCTGCTATGTGTTCCTATCCTTTGTAAAATAAACTAAAATTAGGATGGGTTAACTCTTGAACAGGCTTAATAATATGTAAAAGAAATTTGCTTTTCTATCTCATTTTTCCATCTAGCAAGCAAAGATCGCATGTGTAACTTCTGCACTGCACAGAGGGTAACGTCACACCTAAAGTGACACAGGACTCAGTCAGATGGCGGAGGCAAGTCCCTGACAGGATGTCCTGGCAGCCACCCCACCCGTGATTTGCAGCTCTTACTGCCTGGTGTCCCCAAGTTCTCCCAGCAGGCTTGGCAGCATCTATCTGCACCGAGGGCAGAGTGGAGCCATGGCCCCCGCTGTCTTCCTGGGGGCAGCAGTGGAGGACAGACCCCAGCTGGGCACTCATAGCCAGGGCTGGGAGCCACATGGCTGCAGAATAAATTACCTTCCCAGGGGAACAGAAAAGGGCTAAGACAAGGGAGCAGGGAAAATTCTGCACAACTGTCTGGGACACTCAGTATATTTACCAGGCAAGCAAACACTTTCCAGGTCCAGTGCACAGCTGCCACATGGCTATAATCACAGCAGTCGGGAGGCTGAGGCAGGAGGATCCTCAGTTCCACTTTCCTGGGCAACTTAGAGAGACAATCAAACACATAAATAAAAAGGGCTGGGGATATGGTTCTCAGTGCAGAAGGCCTGGGTTCAATCCTCACACAATAATGCAAAAAAAATTTTTTTTTAATTTTAAAAACTAAAGTGAAATGTAAAGACACAATTAAGCCTCATTCAGTGATGGTTTATTTCCTCCTGGTGCTGCAGTGCTGGGTGGGCTTTTGAAGCTGCCCTTGATACTGCCCCTTCTCCCGGGGCAAGGGCCACCCTCCCTAGACTTTAGGCCCATGGGCCTAAGCCGCAGGCTCTCGCAGGCTCTGGTGGGCAGTGGCAAGGGGCTTTAGGTCACAGCTGTTGATGCCGCAGCCATCCAGCCGGTGTCCCTGCAAGGCGTCCAGGAGGCCGAGGTCCTCTGCTGTCCTGGTGTCCTCCTGTGCACCCGCTCTCTGCAGCATGGCCTGGAGCAGCACTTTCATCCTTTGGTTTTCCTTGGAGGCAGCCTGCCAAACGACTTCCAGCTCACCTTCCATTTCTCTGAGGGCAGTAACAAAATCAAGGAAAAGCTTACAAAAGCTCGATTTTACAACATACCTGCAGAGTCCTGACAAATCCTAAAACAGCAAGCACTCAAGAAAGACTGTGTAATGGTAGAGGAAAAAGCCAGCTGTGCTTCTGCCCTGGAGCAGGGCCTGGATGTTAAATGAAGCACCCAGGGCCCCTAGAAATAGAAGAAAGAACAAAAGCACAGGCAGCAAAAATGTTTTCTTACTTAAAGCCAGGCATGGAGGTACACACTTGTAATTACAGCACTCTGGGAGGCTGAGGCAGGAGGATCACATGTTCAAGCCCTGCCACTGCAACTTAGTGTGTCAGGGAGACTCTGACTCCCAGCCAAAAAATGGGAGGTAAACTTATTTTACACCCTTAATGTCTGTCGTTGTGATTTTGGCATCAAGATTCATGTCCTTTATATCCTAAGAATAAACACATATACATAGAAAAACACAGTAACTGCAGGGCTGACCCAAGCCAGCTGGACACCACAGCACGATTGCCTGGCAGCAGCTACCACCTCACGGGGCTGTGAGCCCCCTGGAGTGTGGGAGAGAAGCACAAGCCTCCGCCTGTGGAGACGAGCAGGCCCAAGGCAGCAGGCATCGAAGGACCTGCTTCTTCTCAGAGGCTGCCAGATGGTCTTGAAAATTCTGGCAAATGGACTAGAGGGTGGACTTGGTGCTACTGTTTAAGATTAAGGGTGGCCAGGTTGGCTGGTTCACAGGCACTTTTCTCATGAGATGCTGCTTCCTTTGAAGGCTCATGATGCCCACTGAGAGTTGGCACCCATGGAGAATATTTAGTAAAATAAATCACACAGGGGGAAAAAACTCTCATATGATCTCACAGGTGAAAACCAAAAAACGAGAGCATGTAAGACAGGGTCTCACTATGTTACTAAATTGCCCAGGCTGGGCTCAAATTTGTAATCCTCCTGCCTCAGCCTCCCAGAGTTCTGGGTAATAGGCATGTGCCACCATACCTGGCTCAAAATTATAGTCTGAAGGAGTTAAGTCCTAGTGTTGCATTGTATAATAGGGTGACTAAGGTTAACGATTATTTATTGTACAACATATTTCCAAGTAACTAGGAGAGAGAATCTGGCATACTTTACCACAAAGAAACAATAATTGTTTGAGGGAACAGATAGCTGATTACTCAGATCTGATATTACACAATACATACAAGCATCCAAAAAGATCACCTTATACCCCACAGATTTATATAATTATTATATGTTAATTTGAAAAAAAGGCAAATAAAACAAGAATCAACAATACAAGATTGTTTTTTGTTTTTGAAATAGGTCTTATTATTTAGTTCAGGCTGGCAATCCTCCTGCCTCAGCCTCTAATTGCTAGGATTATAGGCATGTGACTCCTGGCAACAAAAGAAGATTTACACACTTATTCCAGCTCAATATGAGATATTAGAATGATCATATATACAATGTAAAATAACTATCAATAACCTAGTAAAAGAAAGAAAAGACACATAAAAATAAGCAAAGACCAAAAGTTTATTTTTTAAATGATAGATAACTTTTCAAAATAATCAAATAGAACTTCTGAAAATGAAATATAGGGTTGTTAAAAAATACGGTTTGGTTAGACAGATGGGGAAAGAATTAGTAAACAGGCAAATTGAGCTGAAGAATTTATCCAAAATGTAGACCAGAAAAAGAAAGAGATAGAAGAATATAAAAATAAGGAATAAAGGGATTCAGAGCCAAGGCCTGACATACATCTAGTCTGAGTTCCAGAAGGAAACTTAGAAATGGTGTGAGAAAACACACATTTTTATGAGACAATGACTAAGAATTTTCTAGGACTAATAAAAGACACAAAATTAGATGTACAGGGTGCACTTTACTCTAGGTGGACAAACAAAAAGAAATTCATAAACATAAAACAATGAAACCAGAGAACCCAAGAGACAAAGAGGATTTTTAAAAGTCTGAGGCACAAGGATCACAAATTCAAACCCAGTCTTGCTAACTTAGTGAAGCCCTGTCTCAATTTTAAAAGTTTAAAAAGGTCTGGGAATGTAGCTCAGTATGAAGAGTTCAACCCCCATTGCTACAAAATAATACATTAAAATATAAACAAATCCACAGGGAAGGGAAGAAATAGACACACATTTTTAAGATAAGTGACTTCTCAGCAGCAGCAATGAAACAGAAGACCATGGAAGGTGCTGAGAGAGTGACAGTCATGGCCGGAGTAGGGACCTAGAAAAAAATCAGTATTTAATTTATGGGGCTAAAAATAAGGAGAGCAGTAGATTGTTGCTTTTTATTTTCATGTAGCTATTATTTGGATTTACTTAGACTAGATAATGACTGTGTATGAGAAGTACAAATAAACTAGGCATGATGTCGCATGCCTGTAATCCTGGCATTCTGGGAGGCTGAGGCAGGAGGATTCCAAATTAAGCCCTGCCTGGACAGTTTAGTGAGATTTCATATCATAAAATAAAATAAAGTAAAATGAGCTGGGGATGTAGTTTAGTCCACAGGCCCTGAGTTTATTTAATCTTAGTACCAGAAAAACAAAAACCAGTGTAAATAATTAAAATAAAGTGTCATACCTCACATCTGGGGAGAAATATAGCTGATGCTGATTTAAGTTTAGATTTTTAAAACTAAGTGTCCATGCAGACACTAAAGGTAATCATAAAATAAAAGTAATCACTAAGAGGAGAATATATAATTTTCAAACTGCCAGAGGGCAAAAAGAAATAAGAAAAATAAATGTAATTCTAAACCTCCCATCTGGTCAAAAGCTTGCTATTGGTCTTTTTCCGAAGTGTCTGTTTTCCAGTGGTCAGAATTTCTGTGACTGCCAGTTCACATTAGTAAGACTGTGCTCCGCCTGGCAGTAGGAAGAGCCTGGCAGGGCTGGGGTGTGGCTTGCTGAAGGGCACTTGCCTGGCGGGTAGGGGGTCGTGGGTTCCACCCCAGCCCGTGCCAGAGATAGGGCATGCGAGGCAGCGTGGGCTGGGAAATGAGCCGGACCGGCAAATCACAGTCCCAGGCCAGCGCCAGGAACTCCCCGGAGGCCTGCTGGAGGGTTCCCACTCGCTGGGGAGCACAGACGGCAAAGGAGCCCACACCGACTCCCCACGGAAGCCCGCTCTGCTCCCCCTCACAGGATGTACTTCTAGTTCTGTTTTTATCCCTGCCTCTCTTTTCAGCCCGGTCCTCTTTGCAGAGCCAGTGGTTTTCTTAACCTTCACCCCTCCCTGTTCAAATAAACTTTCCGCATGTTTGAGGCTTGTCTCGTTCAATTCAATGTTTGAAGCAAGGAGGAGCTGGAATCTGTTTAATTGGTAAGCCATTTCTAAACAGGAACTACCTGGAGAAAAAAACAAAAAGAATCTGCCTAGCGGCTATAAGAGGTAAAGATATTTTTAATTGGTCCATATTTCATTAACCAGTCTACTAAGCCCTTATTCAGAGTTGGCTCGGTCAGCTAGCAGACAAGGACACGCAGGCTGTCCAAAGACTCACACCAGAGATAAGATGCTAAAGGAGCCTTCCTGAGTCCCCGGAAACCAACAGGCTAAAAATAACTACAAAGAGAAATACAGAGGAAGAGGAGGTAAAAAGGGAAACGGAGGAGGCAACAGGTGTGCAGTGGGATAGACTGAGACAGACTGTGAACCCCAGATCGCAGGCCGGGCAGAGGGGGGAGGGACCCCTTTGGGTTAAAAATAAGAATCCACAGCTTCTCAGCTGGAGTGTGCCCGTCTCTTGATGGGCACCACTCTTGTAAGAATCTGGGCTGAAAGGCTCACTTCTGCTGTCTCTGGAGTCCAGTTGCTTTTTGATCTGGACAAGTGAGATCATTTCTTATACTGGGGACACAGACAGATGTCAGCATTCTCATGGCAACACGGTGGTTACGTTAGGAAAATCGCAGCCAAGAAGTACTAGATTTTACAAATGTTCCAGCTGTCAAAGACCAGACAGGGACTAAAAGACAGCCAGCTTTTGGGAGTCCCAAACCCTGTGAAGGGCCACATTCCCTTTGCAAAATGTGCAATGCCCGCCAGTGTCTGTGACATGCTGACAGTGCCACCTGCCTTTCATGGAGAGAACTGAGGTATGACAGATACAATACCTCACCTCCCCGGAAACACACTGCACCTACAAGTTTAGGATTATGATCTTACAATAGGGGGAATGATCGGAGATCTTAAAGTTCTCAGAAATTTTTTAAAAAATCATTTAATCAAAAATTAATGAAATATCCCAAGAAAAAGGAATGAAACAAAATACCAAAGAGGAGAATAAAACACAGGAGTTTTTTGCAAGTCTAACTCAAATACGAATTTTAAAGAGAAAAAAGACAACAAGTGAATAAAAGTCAAGCTCAATACTAAACTCAAATAAGAATAAAATGTGAAAATGAAATTACACAAGCAAACAACAGGCCCTGAGGACTTCACCAGGACATTTCCTACAGCATCCAAAGGGCAGAGCTCCCCCGGGGCCCTCGGAGCGCGACCCTACCTCTGCTGCTGCAGGGCTTCGTCCAGCACCTCCTGCTTGTTCTGCAGCATGCGGTGCAGGTGCCTCAACTCCTGCCGGTAGCGCGCAGTCTTGCCCTCGAAGTCCTCCTCCTGCTCCAGGAGACGGTAGCTGATGTTGCCCAGCTTCAGTGCAGTCTGCTTCTTGTATCCCTGAGGGGAAAGAGGGGCTTCCTGAGCAGGTGTGCCACCTCCTGGTCACTCTGCCTACCTCCTTTCCTTCTGTTGGGGTTCAAGGAATTTCAGTAAGCCCTGTGTAAGGCTGCCCAGAGACAGCAAGTGTGGGGATCCTAAAAGTTACCAAAAGAACCAGGCATGGTAGTGCAAGCCTGTAATCTCAGCACTCTGAGAGCCTGAGGCAGAAGGATTACAAGTTCAAGTCCAGCCTGAGCAACTTAGCAGGATCCTGTCTCAAAAAAAGTGGCACATGCCTGTGATCCCAGCACACAGGAGGCTAAGGCAGCAGGATTGCACAAATTTAAGGGCAGCCTGGGTTACATAATGAATTCAAGAACAACTTGAGCTACATAGACTATCTCAAACAAACAGGTAAGAATAAAAACAAAGATGTATAGCTCAGTGTGGAGGCCCTGGTTCAGTTCCCAATACATCATATACATGCACAAACACACACAGTCATAAAAAGTAAAAAGAGAATTTTAGGTACAATAAAACTAAACTTATTTGTGTTATATCTTTTTATGTGATACAAATAAAAATTAAAATATACCACCCTCATAGAACAAACTGATTCTACATTTTCTTCTGGGACAACTTTTACTTCTTGATTAACTGATAATTTAAAAACTAGTACCACAGTTAGGCAAGGTAGCAGACATCTGTAGTGTTAGCTGCTTGGGAGGTTGAGGCAGTTTGTGCCCAAGGGTTTAAGGCCAACTCGGGGAACACTGTACCCCCGAGTAAAAATAAAAAATCCAACCAAAAACCAAAGAACCAACGTCCATGACTGACAACAAACACTGCTTTGCCTCATCAGGGAAACCCCATGCAAGAATTGAGCATGGCCTGTCATTCTCTATCGTCAAACAGACGACAGAGATAAAAGCCTGGCTCTTTTATTTTTATTGTGTAGTATTTAGGGTTCTCACAAGATGGGCATACCTAAAATTGTTGTGATAGTCTTGCCATGTAGTTCACATGAACTTTTTTTTTTTTTTTTGGTCTTTTTCTGAGACAGGGCATCACCTTGCAGAGTTCAGACTAGCCTTGAACTCATGTGGTAGCCCAGACTGGCCTTAAACTCAAGGTGCTCCTCCTGCCTCAGTGCTGGGATTACAGGCATGTGCCACCATGCCTGGCTAGAACTCTATACTTTAAAGATTTTTAAAATTCTGATAGCCAGCCGCTCCGGGAGAACATGGCGGACAGACAACAGCAACTACTGAAGGCTCTCTGAAAGGCTCGGCTCAGAGGCCAGGAATGATGCGGACTAAGGAGACACGAACCAGTAGAGATATGCTCTGCTGACTCAGGAACGAACTGGGCTGAGAGAATCCAACTTAGGATACAGTCCTGGCGCTAAAATAGGAACAGAAAAGACTCGGTGTAGAGGCTCGACCCCGCGCCATTGGAAACCGCGATTGGGTTTCCCGCCGCCCGGCGGCTGGCTGCCTCCACAGCGGCTCGGCAAGGAGAGATGCGCCGAGCTCTGGGAACGGGAGTCTGCGAACGGAGTCGAAAACAGGACGGACAAGGAGGCATACACGAAAACTGACTGGTGGCGAGGTGAGCGAGGGACTGACCCCCTACCACAGTTTGACTCCAGCGGAGGTTTTTCTGGGCTCAGGCAATCCTGTAAGAGCAGGGCGCGGTGGCAACTCCAGCCACACATTCCCCTCTCGGACAGGATTGGTGAAAAGTGCCTGGCCTGAGTGACGCTGCTGGCGGACTCCCTAGGCTGGCCTAACCCAGATCCCAGAGCCTGACGGTGGCCCGGAGGAGCGACTGACTCCCGCATAGGCTGCCTCCTCCGCGACTCCCTGGGGCACAGCGGTGGGCGGGAACAACTAGCCAGCGCAATTTGATCAGGCTGTGGCTGACAGGCAGGGAAGCCGGGCCTCCCATGTAAGCTTGCATTTTATAAGGAACAGAAAATATGGGGAAGGGAAGCAACAAAAAAGGCTCCTCGGCCCCCAATCCTGAGAATCAGGCAATAGTGGACACCGCACCAATATACATTAAGCGCCATATAGAGAGCCTCATAGACCAATTCAGGAATGAAGTTATCAATGACCTGAAGCTAGAAGTATGCAGAATAGTTAGAGAAATGCTAAGCACCACCCAGGAAAAAGCAGATGGTGGAATGGAAGAACAGAAAAAGAGGGGAGAATTGCTTGATGGAGAAAACAGAGAAAGCATTGAGTATATGAAGCAGGTTCAAAGGGACTATCAAGAAATTAAGAAGTCTATCCAAGACTGGCATAACAGCTTGAAAGAAACTAAGGACAGACTATCTGAACTGGAGGGCAGACTTGAAACATGGGAGAATGAAATGAAAAACTTCTTAAAAATAACAAAGAAACACACAGCAATAATACAAAGACAAGAAGATGATAAGAGGAGCCATAACTTAAGGATTAAGAACATAAAAGAAGAAGTAGGGACACAAACAAGTGAACTACAAAAGCTACTCACAGAAATAATCCAGGAGAATTTTCCTAATTTAGCAAAAGGTAAAGATACTCAGATGTATGAGGCATACAGGACCCCAGCTACCTACAACCCTAACAGAGAAACACCCAGGCATATAATAATAAAAATTCCAGAAATTCAATACAAGAACAGAATATTAAAAGCTGTAAGAGACAAGAAACAGATCACTTACAAGGGAACACCCATCAGAATTACAGCAGATTTCTCTTCACAAACCATCAAATCACGAAGAGCATGGGGAGAAATAATTCAAGCTTTGAAAGATAATAATCTCCAGACAAGATTGAGATATCCTGCACAACTGTCCCTGGAAATTGATGGAAAAACGAGGTGCTTCCAGGATAAAGAGGAACTGGGGGAATTTGCAACTACCAATTCTACCCTACAGAAAGTATTGCAGGATATTCTAAAAAAAGAAAAATACAAAAAACCCAGAAATAGTGGCGGGGAGGCCACAACGAATGGAGCAGAGAACAAAATGAAGAAGACAAACTGACAGCTACTGACAGAAAAAGAGCTCAACAGAAATGAGACAGAGAAGATTGGATGATAGGAACAGCTTTTTTTGGAGAAATTGACATCTTAATAGGTAATGCTGATTTAGTACCATCTTGTTTTGAAGTCTCATCTAGCTTTTGTTCTTCTGTCTCCAATGGTCTAAACAGGTTGTATCTTATTGGATTTTGTTATGTACGATAGTATAAGCAAAAACCTTTTAAAGACAAGGAGATTATACAGAGACCATTGTTCATTTTCTGTTAGTCGATTCTAAATACTCTATAATGCTGTCATTCTCTTAAATGGTTTTACATTGTTTTGATATACTTAATGCTACAGTATATGAAGTTGTACTCAAGGACTTCAGGGAGGGAGTCAATATGGTAACTATTTTTGGGTCAGGATTATCTGGTGGTGAAACACTATTCTGCTTAAATGGTTATGTTTTGATCTGCCCTGTTTCGCTGTTATGCCCTCTTTTTTCTCAATCTCCACTCCATTATTTACTTTTTTATTTTTATCCGTTTAATTAAAGGGAAAAATATAGCAGGATATAATATAGTAACCCACTTTGACTCTCTATTATCTCGATTTGAAGCCCTGTATTACTCTCACCATCTTGTTTATGACTGAGGTTCCTCTATTCTGTTTTGCTTGATAGTATCAGGTTCGAAAGTTTAGGCATCAGCTGAGAAGATAATGAGATTCATTATAACGCCCATTCTCATTGACTTTTATCTACTTTTGAAGACCTACAATATCTCCAATGTTTTGGTTTTGTCGGTTTTATTCTTTACGGTTTTGTTCAATTGTATTACAACTAATGATATAGGCAATTCTATTAGAAATAGCGGGAGGCATTATGGTAACCATTGTTGATCACCTTGTATTATGTTTTTATATTATCTATTATGTCCACCCTTTTGACTTGACCGATTCTGTTCTGTTATGACACATTTGGTTTTACTCTCTTCCAAAAAAGCAATACGAACCGTGGGAGCAATGAAACCCAAAATGTGTAATAGTCACTGTACAAAAGAGAGGAAAAGAAAGTGCTCTAAACTATATAACTGCATGTATATTTAAATGTATAAGATAGAAAATGATATCACAGAGTTTTATTGGATCATTGAACAGAACTGTTTGCAGTATCATTGTTGGAATGTCCACTCTACAAGCTTTAATTTTGTGACTGGAACAATTATTTCTAAGATGGCAATATGTAATCCATTAACTAGTGATTTCCTACTGCGCATTTTTTTCTTCTGTAAATCTGTATAACTTGTACCCCTTCATTGTTTATTTTTCTTTCTTTTCTTTTCTCCTTAAATAAAAATTAAAAAAAAAAATTCTGATAGCCAGTTTTTACACTCCCTTTGGCAGAAGAATTGGTTACATGCACATTTTACATTTCCAGGTGAAATAAACTATATTTTTACTTTATTTTACTATTATTAATATTAGTAGTAGTACTGGAGATTGAACCCAGGGCCTTCCCACTGAGCTATATCCTTGCCCCCTCCCCCTTTTTTAGTTTGAGACAGCATCCTGCTAAAGTCACTAAACGGCTCAAACTTTCAATCCTCCTGTCTCATCCTCCCAGAGTACTAGGATTACAGGTATGCACCACCATGCCTGGCTGTGGAAGAACACTTTGCCTTCTGATTTTGTATATTAATTTCTTTATAATCAACAAATGTCTATAGAATTTCTACTTTAGAGATTTATTGAAGTATTCTGTATAGCCAATGTGAACAATTTGTTTTTATTATTCATGTAGATATAAACACATCCTATTCATTAGTTGTCACAATTTCTCCATCTCTGTTTATTTTTGTTTAACTTTGATTGGTCTTAGAATAAGAAAAATTAAAAGTTTTATGATCACATTTTATTTATCTCTCATTTTATTATTATGTTTTCATGTTTCCTATAGTTTAGCCTTTATACAGTTATTGCTGTGTTAATACATAGGTACATACAACTACTACATATTTTTTCTAATTTTTAGCATTATGAAGGTCTCTCTCTCTGTTTTTATTATTGTGTATATCTATATATCTATATCTATATCTATATCTATATATATATATATATATTTTTTTTTTTTTTCTGTTGCAGTACTAAAGATTGAACCTCTGCCCTGAACCACGTCCTCAACCTTTGTAAATTTTGAACAGGGCCTTGCTATATTACTAACTTGCGATTCTCCTGCCTCAGCCTCCTGGATCTTCCCTTGCTGGTGCTCCCCTACCTGCCCACTAGAAGCCAGGCTGTCTGCTGGGGCTGTAGCTGCAGGCTGGGGACCAGCTGTCTGGACACAGCTTACAAAGAGAGGGATCTGGTTAAGGACAGGCCAGGACAGGTGCAATGACAATGCTTGCTCTGGGCAGAGAAACTGGAGGGAGAGGTCAGGGTGAAGGCAAGAAGGCAGGAGGCCAATGCTGCTCCCTAGACCAGAAAATGCTGGGCTGGATGACAGAGCTGGACAGTCACGTACAGTACAACCTGGAGAATTTCCGTACCTTTTTTTGTTTGTTTGTTTTTTTAACAAACTCCCATCTGGTATTTTGTTACATAGAAAAGCCAAAATTTATCTGATGAGTTAAGACGGTGACAATGAACATGTTAGAGATGACTGCCCAAACTGCAACCAAAACCCACTTACTTATTGCAAAGCACCAACATTGCAATTCAACCTGCATATCTGATCCTCGGCTGCTGGGCCACTCGGCTCGCATGCTGACAGAGAGGACTCCTCCGCATGCCCCTGCAGCACCAACACTGAGTAAGAGGTGCTATTTCTGACAGCAAGACGTTTTACTGCTCTATTCTGTGGATGATTAGTAACACATGCATGCAAAATGTCCTTTTCCTGACTCAGCGTGGTGGTGCAGTCCTATAATCCCAGAATTCAGAAGACTGAAGCAGGAGGATCGCTGTGAATTCAAGGCCAGTCTGGGCTACATAAAAGATATGAACTGCACATAGCAAGACCCTGCCGCATAACTCACCCCCCACCATACCTTATACGATACAAATAACCTGTGATGAATACTGCAGTTATGTGTATCTAAAACGTACCAATAAAATTAATTTTAAAAATATGCCCACTCCCAAAGTCACTTTTCAAAGCACAGGAAATTTACACTTGTAAGACCCCTTTCCTGATGGAGACCACACTGAGCCAGTGTTGAGCAGGTTCTAGAATCAATCGATTGATTTTCTGTATTAACTTATGAGTCTGTCCCAGGCCTAAGTGACTTGTCTAATGACACAGTGGCCGGATCATACAGAAACAAAATTCTCCATGCCAACGGTCATAGTAGAGGCTGACAGTGGCCTGTGACTCTGGGACAGTTCTGAAAGCAAGATGACGTTGTGTGGAGGACACTGGCTCTCACTCAAGAGTTCCAGGGCAGTAACTGCCAACCTTAGACAGAACGGTGCTCTCACTAAGCAGGGACTTATGCTTGGAATGTTTGGGTCCACTTGCACAAGGCCTTGATCACTACCGCTCTTTCGGCTCAGCTGTTTCTTCCACGCACCCCTGCCACCGCCGTGTGTTACTCAATAAATAGTGGTCAGGTCACAGGAATCAGAGTCTTAGCCACAAGAGCACTGATCGTCACGGGCCCCCATCCACCATACTACTTTTGTCTACCACCTTTTACCCTTCATTGTACTGTCGCCCAGCGGCTCGGGAGACTGGCCAACTCCCAGGACTTGCCCACCGGAAAAAGGGCTCTGCGAGGCTGACGTACTGCTTACCTTGATTTTCTCCTGTAACTTTCCCACATGAATACTGCCTTTTAGGTACTTGCTGAGGGCTCCGTTTTTCTCACTTTCTAAAAAGTTAGCCTACAGGGAAAGGTGAAAACAAAAACAAACAGACTCTCAGTTTTACAGAAAAATTAAAATAACATAAGTTTCTTAGGCTGGCAATGCCGGGCACTTGCCCAGCATGTGAGGGCCTAGGATTCGGTCTCCGGCACTCAAGGGAGATACCCTCTGCCATACAGAGTGGTTCCTCAGGAGTAGTCTCCCTTCTGCCCTGCTTGTCACCTCCGCTTCCCTCCCTCCCAGGGTGACAGCTATCAGCAGAGCTCGGGTCAGGGTCTGAACAGGACTGGGCGAAGGCCAGCATGCAGGGCACTCTCATGGGCACAGACAAGATCCAGGTCCTCCAGGCCAGGGAACACAGCTTTATCCTCATGGAAAACGAAACTCTTTCGAGCACAAACTGAGGGACGTGTGCTAAGGTGCAAATAAACTTGTCCATGGCCTAACCTGATTAGGATGGCAGAGGCAGGGTAACATGAACACAGGACTCCGCCCTCCACACCAAGATGCCAGCCGGCATCTCAAGAGGATGGCACTCGGAGCCAAGTGACTAAAATCACCATGCAAATGGCAAATGAACCCTCACACACTATTCCTTATTTCATAACTAAAACATAAGATAAAAGTAAAGGTGAGCATTTCTTTTGAAGTAGCCTGGTGGTGGCAGTTTGACTTTCCAGAAAGAAAAGACAAGACACAGGAAGTAAACACAAAAACTCTGTTAGAGATTAAGATGTCATAATCTGAGACTACTACGGTGTCTCCTACAGAATCGGGGTGAGAGGAGGCGAGATGGTGCCTGGGGGATGTCAAAGTGATTTTAGCCACAGCTAATCAGCGGGCCCTCCCAACCCAGAGTGAGGCCTCTGGTGCCTGAGCGTGCATGGGAGGGTAAGGGGGTCTCTCTCAGGGCCCCTGAACAGGACAAGGTGAGAGAACATGGCTCAGACCCAGATGGGGCAGAGGGCAGTGGGGTAGCTGCTGTCAGCTCTGGTCCTGGACTAGAACGATGGCCCTGGGGCTCTGAGAGCCAAGAGGTTCTGGGTGCCTTGCAGCTCCCACGGATCTCCCTGTGTGGATAGCACTGTCTCTGTGTACGCAGGGCTCCCTTGTGACAGGTGGAGGAGTAGGAGTGGATAACCGTAGCTCCATCCATGTTCTCTGTTAAAACTGCAACTCAGAGGGGCCTGTAGATTTGGAACTCAAGCCAGACATTTAGGCCATTATAAAGGTCAGAACAGGAGGAAAGAACACATTTTATTTATGGTCTGCTGGCTTGATTTGTAACTTTTAAATACTTGGCCACACAGTATGTGGCTTCTGTTTGTATTTCCAGGCCTGGCCCACATAAAATAGGCATGGGCTCCAGGGTGACCAAAAGCATGAGGGCAGGGGACCGTCCTCATCAGGGAGGCCTGCGAGGTTCTGGGGCCCCTGTGGGAGGTGCACAGTCTGCCTGCACACAAGACAGCCTTGCATTCGGGGTGGCACTGACACATGGCTGCAGGTCCCCAGGCACATCTGCAATGGCACTTCACATTTTCCAGAAAGCTTTTGCTTTGCCCTCTGGTTGTCCCAGCGGGTGAGGTCAGCAGGCGCAGCAGAGGAAAATGGGCACTTGGTGCTGTTACACAAAGTGCCCCCGAGGCCAACACTTTGGTTGGGGAGAGGAGTTTTTCAGGAGGGGAACTACAGGGCCAGGAGGTCTGAGTGTTTGAAAGTTCCTGTCATGCTGTGTCCAAGTCAAACTAGTTTGTAGAAGACCCCAGTTGTTAAAAGTCATCAGTAACACAAGAGACGTTTACCACACTTCTGCCTGCCACCCCTAAAGTTGTAAAAAATGTTTCATAACATTAGGTGCAGATCAGTATCTTGATACAAATTGAACTGGCATTTTTTATTAAAAATAAAAATCCACGTTTTTTCTCTAACAGCTGCCAGCTGTTGATACTTCCTCTTCTATGAACAATTTCCGGTGGAGGAAATTAGCCCCTTTCTCACAAGTAGCTGGACACCTGTGACACACCCACAGGTTCTCCACCATTCACTCAATCCTGGAGAAGGGCAGGTTCCTTCCAAAGCTTCTAGCTTCTGACCTTCTGGTTTCCTGAGTCCATTCAACTACTGTTTCTAATCCTGCACTACAGAGATTGCAACATTGCTCAAAAGCACCCTCATGTACACAGGTGGTATGTATTCACTGCAGAGAAAACAAGAGGCAGATAAATAAGAAGACTTTAAAAAAGAAAACCATTTGGTATTTAGTGACAGCTCATGGATACAGCTGGGAGTAGATCCTAACAGATTTTTTTGATCTGCTTGGCATACCAAGGGTCACCTTTTGCCACACAATCTGTGGCAGGCATCTTTCTGACCCACTGTGGAAATGCCTTGAATCACACTTGCGTCTTGCTCCTGCTGGCTGTGCTACCCTCCGTCAGCTGGGACATTGATCACTGACTGATTTCCTTCCTCCGACTGCTGCTTTTGGAAACAACACAGGAGGAATATCTTTGTGTGGGCAGTTATACCTGTGCCTGTTCAATGGTATCTATAGTATGAACTCCAGTTAAGCTTTGATTTATTTTTATTAAGTACTGGAAATTTCAGTGCATTTTAAGCACACACTCCACTAAGCTGCACCCTCACAGCCCTGCCTATAATTTCTGTCTTATCTTCATATGAGGAAAAAGTTAGATAACATTACAAGGACAGCATAAAGGTGCATGTAGGTAAAAGAAACAAGTGATGGCTACTCTCCCTACTGAGTTAAATTGGACTCATTTGCCAGTTTACCTTTGAAAATAACAGTTGAAAAGCAAGCATTACTTGCCTTTTAAAAGTGTTTTTCCCATGGTTAAAGGATCAGATTTTGTGACAAAAGCCATCTATGATAAACCAACAGCCAACATCATACTAAATGGACAAAAACGGAAAGCTTCCACTCTAAAATCAGGTACAAGACAATGATGTTCACTGTCACTACTCCTGTTCAATATGGTTCTGGAAACATTAGCCACAGCAATTAGATAAGAGAAAGAAACTGTAGGGAGTGGTTGAAGCTGGAGATTGATCACACATACAGAGCACCCGAGGCAAGCCGTGTGAACAAGCTACTTCAGTAGTGAGAATACTAGGTGCCCGAGACAATCCAAGCAAATAGGTTGCTAGGCAGAGGGGTGTCAGGTGACATCAGCCTGCCAAGTGTATAAATAAACGTGCTGCAGTCATGCAGTTCTTTGGTCCCATCAGGGGAGGTGGCTCCAGCGGACCTCAACTTTTTGTTTTCTGATGCATCTTTAATTCTTCATCCTCCACTGCCCTTCACCCTGAGAATCTGGATGGAGAGCTGCACTGGACATGGCATATCGCTACCTGAACATGGATTCAGGGTATGAAGAAACTGCAGGTAAGGGGACACTTCTGAGAAAGCACACATGATCAAAAACAGGCTCAAGAGAAGCCTGGCAGAGAGGTGTATTGATTTTGATATCATCAGGTGTAAAACATGGGGCAAGTAGGTATTCAAGAAAACCAGATGCATATACAAATGCTTGTTCTATTATTGACTTCTGTTTACTTTTTTTTTTTTTTTTTTTTTGGTAGACTTAGGCTAGGATTGTGCCTTAATGGTCCTATGCTTGTTGAGATGACCATGGAAGATTTGGCTCAGGGCACTATTTTAAAATTTTAAGACCTGAGCAGAAAAACGATGGCAGAGCAGCAACCTCCCTGATAGAGCTTAAACCCTTCAGCTTTGCTCAGACAGATGAGGAGGCACTATGGAGGACAAAAAGACACTTCCCCACCAGAGGAGTGTCTTGTAATGGCTTCAGTTTGACAGCTTCCCAAGGTAAAATCGACAACCATAACTGAGCCACAAGTGGCAACTTCCACCTTTTCAGTTCAGAGAAATTTTGCTGTGTCACAGGTTGAAACTTCTGCCTCTCTGTGAGTAGAGTCATTCTCAATTCCTTGCAATTGGTGCTAAAAGAAGCCAGGCAAGTGCGGAGTCCATGGAGGGTTTTCAACATACCTACCCTGTTACTGAACTCCAAGTTCCCCCTAACCTGGGACAAATTATACATCATCATGAAGCTGTACCCTTTAAGACCCTAAAAGAATTAAAACAAACTACTTGGACCTATGGCTCCACAGCCCCTTTTATCTTGGGTTTCAGAGAGCTCCTAGGACAACAGGTTATGGCCTCAAATGATAGGTAAAGAATAGCTAAAACGTATTTAAGTCCATTATTGATTGTGGCAGGGAAACTTTTTTGAATTGTGTGCAGATCAGGCTGCTCGCAATGCCACTCACAACAGGGCCATTACAAAAAACGTGTTAACCGGAGAGGGTGCCTTTGCTGCCACAAATAATCAACTTTCTTTTGAACTGCACGTATATGAACAAATTAAAACAGTGGCCACAAGGGCTTGGAGGGAACTTCCTTCAAAGGGTGAGACCTCCCTTGATCTGACCTCCATTCATCAGGGTCCTGATCAGCCTTTTCAGGATTTTGCAGCACGTCTATTGCAGGCTAGTGGGAGGACTGGCAGCAATTCAGAGGCTAACAAGTTAACTGTTAAAAAACTGGCCTTTGAAAATGCAACTAAAGGGGGCTGGGGATTTAGCTCAGCGGCATAAGCGCCTGCCTTGCAAGCTGGCAGTCGTGAGCTTGATCCCTGGTACCAATAAAAACGAAAAAGACAAAAAAAAAAAAAAATTTAAAAAAGAAAAAAAGAAAATGCAACTAAATGGTGTAAAGAGGCTTTATGAGTCCATAAAAAACAGACTACACTCAGGCTATTTATCCACAGCCCAGAGGAAAGGGATAGAACAAATCTACCTGTTTCATTTTGCCTGGCGTTGCTCTGCTCATCTGTAAGGGCAGCATAACCATTATCTGTCCTTTTAACGAAACCATCTAGTGTCCACAAGGGCATCACTGGGCAAGTGAGTGCAGATCCCAAACTGATGTGGAATGCAGACCCTCTCCAGGAACCTTTCCCGGGGCCTGCCGCAGCCCCGCCAAACAGTGGGGGTGCTATCCCTAATTTCTCCCCAGCCCTATTCTCCACCACCAAGCACGTTTCTGACAGCAGAGGCTTGAACCTCAACCCCCCATCAGATTTGTACTAACTCCAGAAATGGGACCTCAAGTTGTTCCTACTGGAGTCTGTGGGCCTTTGCCTCAAGGAATAGTGGGGCTCCTGCTAGGTTGCTGCAGGCTCACTTTAAAAGGTCACCAGGTTGTGTCAGGTGTCATCGATACTGATTATACATGGGATATCAAAGTTATGGTTTAATCTACTCAAAACACTGTTTAACTCACCCCAGATTCTCATACTGCTCAATTGGTCATCCTTCCTTTGACAAAAAAATGAAAAATCTATAAATAAGGAAAGGGGATCCAAGGGTTTCAGGTCATCTGACACTTATTGGGTTCAACAGATTAAACAGAATCACCCCGAGATGGAACTGACTGAAGGAAAAACATTCAAAGGTCTTTTAAACACAGGTGCAGATGTCTCAGTTACTGCCCAGCACCACTGGCCTACGGTGTGGCCTCTGGATTTGCAACTATAGATCTACAGGAGGCGGGCAGTGTGTCTCACCCCAGCAGAAGTGCTACACTGTTATCCTGGAGGGATGCGGAAGGCCGTTTTGGACATTTCTCACCTTACGGCCTCCCCTATACCAGTGAATCTATTGCAATGCAGTACAGGATATGGGGGCATTTTTTGGTTAGACCTAAGCCCTTGTTGACTCACTAGATGTTACAACAAGGTTTTTCTACAATGCAGGACTATCTTCCATAAAGAAGGATAAGTTTGAGACATTGGATGCACATTGGGGCCAGACACTCATGTGAAATAAATGAGACATACATGTAAATACCACACTGTTTCTCTAGTGTGAGAAACTGAAAGTGTGCGAGGACCAAAACGTATAACAGACACGTGAAATAGGAAGAAAACACTTAAATGGGAAGGGAAAATAAGAAAGGAGAAGGTGGAAAGGAAGAAAAGGAAAACAAAAGACGAATGATGAGGCGAAACAAGAAAAAGTGGAAACAAAGCTTTTGTAAATAAGGAGGGAAGGAGGGATTGAAGGGAGGGTAAGGAAACAGGAGAAAAACCAAGTTATATCACGTACAGGTACAAATTCCCTATAACAAATGTGATCGTCGTGTATACCTAAAATACAGCAATAAACTTAACTGATTTTTAAGCAGGTCAGATTTGGGAGAATTTGGAAATGTACAGTTGATATTTTAAAATAGGGGGCCCTTTAGAGAGCAGTTTCTAAAAAACAAACACATTTGCATATTAACTTGGAATTCACTTCCCATCAGTAACTGAGGAAACTTACCAAATACCTAAGACTGTCTCGTTCCTGGGTCACGTTCTCTGCCAGGCTAACGAGGTTTGCCAGGTAGTGGTGAGCCGACATTTCATTCCCCATGGCTTTTTCCACTTGCTTTTTGAGGACATCAATTTTCTTTTGATTTTTCCTGGACAGCCCCCAAACAGTGGCATAAAAAAACTGATTAGCCTGCACAGCAAGGGCATGGCAAGTGTGTAATAAGCACAAGCACATCACCTGCTATTCTTGGGGCTGAGGGTGTAGCTCCTAGGCAAAACACTGACCTAGCAATGCTTCAGGCCCTAGATATGATGCCCCAGCACTGCCTAAAAATTGAAAAAAAAATTTTTAAATGCTACATTCAGCAATGTAGGTGAAAATTTAAAGGTGAAAACAAGTAAATGAATCTAATTTTAAACCAAGTATAATTACTTGATTCCAAATTATGCTAACAGTTTTTAATCAAATGTTTTACAATGAATAAGTTAATTAAATATTACTCTATTAAATATTTTTGACTGTTGTTCAGAAAGATACTTTTCTCTTTTTGGTGTTTTGACACAGGATCTCAGTATGTAGTTCAGGTTTATCTTAAATTCACTACATAGCCCTGGATGGCTACGCACAGAGATCTGTCTGATTCAGCTTCCCAACTGCTGGGAATACAGGTGTGTGCCACCACACCCAGCCTGAAACATACTTTTTAGAATGGTATTCAGTAATCCCTACATAGACTCTTGGGAAACAGTCAGAAAAGAACTTCTAGAACATCCAGAGTCTAGGGTTAGGATTTATGATATCAACCCTGTGTGAACTGTGGACTTGAGAAATGTTGGTGAATGCTGGCCCACAGAAGAGCTTTTGTTCTGCTTATACTCTGATACCACTCATCTTGATCACTCTTTTACAGTCACTACTGGAAAAAGAGAATATGAAGAACACAAAAAGAACCACTCTTGCTAGTGCCTCCCCTCAAGCAATTGGCTGGTTCGGAGGACAGGCCGAGTTGACAGTAACTGAGGTGCAAACTGAGGTGCAAAATGCAACTGAGGGCTTGTATTGTTTGCTTGACTTTGCAGGCCTGGGGCCAGTGGTCTGAGCAACTATAGGAAGAACGGCACGCAATGTAGCAAATATGGGGCATTTCCTACTACCTTGTTTTTTGAAATCCAATGTTGTTCACACTGTTTTATTTTGTTCTGATTAGCTGGATTGCTTTGTTCAATATTTTGTTTCGATTGGTTTTATTCTGTTTTGTTTTGGTTTGTGTCTGTTTTATCTGATGGAGTGGACAACTATTATGAAGCTAGCAGGATATACTACAGTAGCCGTTGTTGTTTTCCTATTATCCTGCTTTGAAGTTCTGTATCAATTTTACTGCTTTGTTTTGATTGGATTTATTCTGTTTTTGGGGGTTTTATTATCTTTAAAATCAAATCAAATCAAATGAATTACTCTTCGGTGTGTTCTTTTAACGACTGAGAAGAAAAACAAGAGAAAAACATGCAAACCTGTTTATCTTTTGCATCTTTCCAAGCTCAGCTTCCAGGGCTTTGCTCCGGGCCGCCAGGCTGCTGTGCTCCAGAAGCAGGCTCTTCCTCTGCACCTGCAGGAGCGCCAGCTGCCCCGTCAGCTCCTCCATCTCTGCACTCTCTCTCTCCTCCTCCTTCTGCAGCTGGCTGAAGGACAAAGACTTCACAGGCTTGGACCCCAGACACTGAGTCTGAAGAGGCTAAAGAGGCAGGCACTGCCAGCTTGGTGACCTGACTGCAGGGGGAGCATCAGCACCAGGACCTGGGGTCCAGCTGCTGCTGGAGGAAGGACAGGGTCCTTGATGGTCATCCTCTGACCCTGCTGTTTCCTGCCCAGTTTTGTTTCTACCTGCATATATACTTTCATTTCTACCATTTTCCTTTAGGAAAAAAAAAAGCAAAACAGTTTCATTTTTCACACGGTTAAAATTGCCAGGAAAAAAATCCTATGGCCAAAAGCAATTTTTCTTCATGATAACACAGTGATGAATGTATGCTTTACAGTAACAGAAACAAACATATGGGGAACCTGTTCCGTGATCATCAGCTGGGGACTGTCCAGTTTCTGTAGGGTAACCTGACTGTTTCAGCTCACCACCTCCTAAACAGAACCTGTGGACTCCGCTGGGTCAAGGAGTCAGGCAGGAAGACCGGGATCCCGGTCATGGTGGTGACAGTGTCTGGGGCAGAGGGGAGGGAGGAAGGGACCTGGAGCTCTTTAGGGGTCCTGAGTCTTTGGCTGAGCACTGCTCTGCCTGTGTGAGAGGAGACTGCCCAAAACTGAGGAGAGAGACACTAGAATGAGGAGGCAGAAGAATTCCTGGCAGCCACAAATCCTGAGAAAAGCCCCTGAGCCCAGCAGTCGGAGTGGAGAGGCCTTACGCTGTAAGGGACACTGAGTCCTCAGAGGTGGGCAGGAGGGTACTACGGGCACACCTGGATGGAGGTCAGCGCTGAGCAAGTCCAGCTGCTCTCTAGGAACTGAAGTGTACAACAGGACAGCATCTACCACTATCTAAATCAATGCAATAAATACAGCACCCAACACAAAATCTCCACCACACAGCACCTATTGAAGCAACAGGGATAGATCCATGATCAGGATACAAACAAAGAGTAGATTCAGAAGTGAGAGAAAAGATGGCTGTCAAAAGTTTTAAACAGCTGTTAGGAACATGCTCCATCTGCTCGAGAGAGCAGAAAAAAGCAGGACAATGAAGAGAGAAATGGAAAATACAGAAAACAGAAACAAAACCTCCAAAGGATCTCATGCTAGAGATGGTGACACAAACCACGTGAGATGGCTGCTATCTTTACAGGAACAACAGCAGATCAGACTGCAGAAAAGGGTGAAGGGGAAGAAAGAGCAGGAGACACCGTCCAGTGGGACAGAAGCACGGAGCAGTGGCACACACGTGGAACATGTCCGTGGGACACTAGCAAACAGTCCTAGGCAAGGAGAGAGGGGAAAGCCAGGAAAGTGTATTAAGGAATTAATAGCTGAAATGCTTCCAAATTTGATGGAAGATACAAACCCACAGCCACAAGAAGCTCAACAAATCTCAAGCAGAATAAACAGTAAACGCCAGGGCACATCTTCGCTGAATTTCTGCACATCAGTGATCAAGAAAGATTCTTCCTAAGAAGCATGAAAGTGAGCTGGCATAGTGACCCACGGCTATAATCCCAGCATTAGGAGATTGAGGCAGGAGGGCAGCCTGGGCAACATAGAGAGGATCTGTCTCCAGAAAATGCAAAACAAAATCTGAGCAGCCTCTTCCTTTCTGGCTACAGTGACGTTCAGTGACTCCTGAATGCTCAGAAGGACTTTGGTCCTTACCTTTTCAGTTCATTCACAATGGACATGTGAACTTCCATCGCAATCCTGCCATCCAGGTCTGTTTGGAGTTGTTGGCATTTGGCACGAAAACTCTCCAGCTGCTGCTTGTTCTCTACCAGCTCCTTTTCCTGGATCTCTTTCTGTGACTCCAGGAGCATAAGCTGTTTAGTCAGCTTAGAAACTGCGAAGCAAAAGAGAAGGATAAAGACCTCGCACAGAGCACTTAGTAAAACCTGAGCGCTGATTGCTGGGAGAGAGCTACAACGAGTCAGCTGAAAAACGGAACGTTTGAAAAATCTGGCTAGGCAAGGGCATTGTCTGCCTGTAATCCCAGCACTCAGGGGACTGAGGCAGGAGGATCGCGGTGAGGTACTGGCCAACTTGTGTTACACAGTAAGTTCACGGTGAGACCCTATCTCAAAAAACCAAAATTAAAGAAAAAACTAACTAAATGTGTCTCTTGGAATGTTATACATTAATACGAAAGCCTTCTAACAGAAATGGCTTTCCCTCAAGTCAGTGCTCACTAAACATGCAAGAACCCTCCCTTTCTGTGGGTTCTGCAACAGTGGATTCAGTGATCCACGTGAGGACAACATTTGGGGAAAGAAAACTGCACTGTACTGAGCACAGAGCTTCCTCCCTGGCACTGTAGCCCACACAACCCAGTGTAACAACTGTGCCAGGCATCAGAAGGGCTCTGGAGGGGATTTAAAGCGTGCAGGAGGTTGTGTGTGAACAGGATGCCATTGTGCAGAAGGACTCAAGCCTCTGACAGATGCTGCCACCCACCCTGTACCTGTGTGCGTGCCTGGAACCACTTCCTGTGGATGCTATGATATTTTACCAGGACTCACCATAACATTTAACAAGACATGAGCGCAGTCCTCAAGGAACTGACTTTCCAGAGTCTTAAATCATATACAGATATACCAATATATATCATGCTGTCATACCTAATACTGCAACATTTTCAAGGTTTTTAAGGACATCAAACATGTCCTAGAGTCAAATTAATTATTTTTTCTTTCCTCATCTCACTAAGCTTTGGTTTTAGTCCTGTATTGAAAAAAAAAAAATCATGCCAGGTATGGAGGCCCATGCCTGTAATCCCAATACCAGAGAGGCTGAGGCAGAAGGATCACTGTGAGTTCTAGGCCAGAATCAACTACATATTGAGTTCAAACAGCTGAATTACATAGTGAGACTGCCTAAAAAAAAAAAAAAAGAAAGAAAGAAAGAAAAGAAAATCCTAAATGTTCTCATCCTCCATGCAAGGTCATACATGATAATAAAGTGTTCCCTGGCAGCTGTTGAAACTAGCCCTGAGAAGTACCGTAACATAAACTTAAAGCTCCCTGCTCTATGAAAACCCTGATGCGATCAAAGGGAAGAGCCACTTGCAGGGAACAAGGAAACAACAGTCACCCCACTGAGTCACAGGTCACAAGGTTTGCCCTGCCCGTGTGACCAGAGCAATCACCACATCTGTCCACTGTTGTGTGCTGGAGAAAACTGGACTCAATCCAGGAAATTCATTTCCCCAACATTTCCAACCCTGAGAGCAAAGAGAGGAGGCTCAGCAGCACCCTGCTCCGTCCTGGCCACAAGGCTGGGTAAGGGACTCCGGGGTCACACGGGCCAAGGGAAACTCAGTAAATGGGAAATTCATCTCCCATCACTTCTAACCCTGAAATAGCAAAACTCCATCTCCTCCTGGTGCACAGTGCGGAAGTGAAGGGTTCTGGGCCGCGGGGGTCTGTGGAGAAGTCCTGCAGGTCACATCCCCATGGGACTCTTCCGGAGACAAGGCTCGGCTTTTTTCATTTTTTATTTTTGTTGAAGCACTGCAGGTACAACCCACAGGAGCGGTACTACTAAGATGTGGGCTACATGCTAGCACCTTCGTTATTTTTTTAAATTTTGAAACAGTCTAAATTTCTATATTGCCCAGGCTGGGCTCTGATCTGTGATTCACCTGCCTCAGCCTCCCAGGCTGCTAGGATTATAGGAAAGTGCCACCACGCCCCGCCAGGTGCTCATCGTTAACCTGGGGGGGGGGGGCAGATCACCAGCCCAGCAGGCTCTGCACCAGCAGCACCTGGCAGTGACTCCTGCCCAGCAGGAAAGGTGCTCGGTGTGCAGGCGCAGGAAGGCTGTCAGTGCGGCGGGGTTACAGGGCCCATGCAAGAGGGCCTGTACTTCAGATTCCTCTCCTACGTTATTTTCACTGGAAAAAAACAGTGAAAGGGGAAGAATGACCATGTTTTTTTGTTCTCATAAATTGGGTTTTGATCAAGGCAAAAGAAATGACCTTTAACTGGCTGACTTTGAAATGCTGTGGGGCTCCGAGGCCCAGGGAGGGGCCTTTGGGGACAGGGCACTCTCAGAAGTATCTGAGGCTACCTAACTACAGCGCTTTTCCCGAGCGTGCTCACAGCCCCAGTGAGACGGAAAGAGCACAGAAAAACTGTGCACACACTCAGAGGTTCTACTTACTCTTTCATCAGATGTTTGAGAAGACAACCCCGTGTCATTCCCAAGGTTTACCTCGCATGGCTTTCCCCACTTCTAAAGCACTATAGTACCCTCACCTACAACAGATTCCCAAAACACAAAGAAGGGCTGGCAGGCACTGTGGAGTCCGTCCGGCAGAAAGCAAGCCACACTCTGAGGAGAGTTAACGGCTGGACATGGATCCAGCTGCATTTCAGTTCAAGAAGATCTGAGCAACACGACCTCGCTTGGTTTCAAGGACACAGTAACAAGGTCCCTCACCCTCTTGGAGATGCTGCTGCTGGGTGTCCTTGGCTTTCCTTTGCTGAATCTCCAGCTGCTGTAGCAACAGCTTGTTTTCCTCTAAAACTAGTTTTGCTTGAGTCTGAAGCTGATACCTGCAATGGATTTACAAAGTTAAATCCTGGCACCTTGGTATAGAGCTATTACAGAAACACACTGGGGTCTACCAGAAACCAACAAAAGGGATGCAGGCAGCCACTAACTGGACACATTTCAGTGTTTAACATACGCATCAAACCCTGCCACATCCAGGAAAGGAAGGAACGACCACAGCGGAGTTTTAGTTACAAATGCTTCCTTTTTTGTTGTTGGTTGGTTTCTTTGGGGTATTTTGTGTTTGTTTTTGGCACTGAAGATTGAAACCTGGGGTTTTTGCAGGCTGAAGAGATACTGCATCTACCACTTAGCTACACCTTGAGCTCTTTGGTAACTTTCTACAAAGTAAACTTTCAGGGCTGGGACTAGAGCTCATGCTTAGAATATGTAAAGTCCTAGGTTCGATCTTCAGCACAAATAAATATTGCTTCAAACACACAACTTCCAATATTTATAAAAGAGAAGATAATACTAAGCTCCCATATACAAAATATTTAGGTTACAAAGTCAGCAAGTGGCCAATCTTTGTTTTTATCTACATAAATTTCCATTTTTCATATGCACTGGATTATTTCAAAGCACATATGGAACTTTCAAAGAATTTAGAAGGTTCCCATTTAATTAAAAAGCTCTTGCTTGTAATCAGCAGCACACTGGCTGGAAAACAGTTACTCTGTCAGAAAGCTTTGAAGTGGCTCCTGAGAACCACACCAGTCCACCCTCCCTTGGGTTATCTCCCCAGAAGCAAACCTGCCTGACAGGTGGGGTGGGATCAGCCTTCAGCATCCTAAGTTCCAGTGCAATGGAGCTAAGGGCGCATTAGAAATTGAGCAGCTGGAGGTTTACCATCCAAAAGCACTTTAATGGATGGGATATCTCAGTTTTCTACTCTCCACTCAAAAGTTCAGGTGGGTGAAGGAGAGAAGGGGAAAGGAGCCAGGCTATACCAACGGCCGCACAGCAACCGTGGCCACAGCCTGTGAGGTGTCGCTGCCTGCAACCTGCGCACGCGCGGGGCAGCCCAGCTCCACCTGGGCCTGCTTTACAAGACTTCCTTTTCTAGTTCATTTATTCATTTTGTCTTCCTCACTCAACTCCCTCCCTCATTCCGAAAAAGAAAAAGAAAAACAAAAAACACCAAAAACATGCGAGCCTCAGATTTACTCTAACGCTCACTCCATTTTGCAGGCAAAGAATCCGAGGTTCCCAGCGCATCACTGCAAGTTAGGGAAAGGAATGCAGCTGGGGCTTCAGAGCAAGAGGTCGCCGAGAATCTACTGGAACTGAGCCACGGAAACGGGCAGTCTGCGTGCCGGGCACTGTGCACAGTGGCGGTAACCGCGCACCTGCACAGGTACGTGGGGCGGCCAGCAGGCTTGGGCAGTGCTCCCCGGGCCACTGGGCTCAGGGACACACCCGTCACCCAGCCCACTCTCTTTCTGCACAGAGCACCAAGCTGCGGCACAGTCTGAATCTGGGGAACCCAGGACTGGGGAATGAGGCAGGGCTGGGTGCTTGAAAGCGGGCTGTCCTTCATCTGACTGATTTGTGTTTAGCGTTATTTAAGGAAACACAAGGGTTTGACTCCTGGCTGTAACCAAGGCTAGGAAAAGAACCTGAGGCTTTAGATGCTCACGGCAACCCTTGGACGCCGGGAGACCCATGTAACTGAGCCCCTCTCCGCTGCACTGTTCATGGGGACCCCAGGGGCACAGACTAGGAAACCTCTGAGAAGAAAATCCAGGCTCAGCGTGGGAGGTCAACATGCACCCAGGGCCAGTAGCTGGCCAGGCCAGTCCCAAACTCAGAGAGGACTTTAATACCAATTCAGAAGGTTTACTAGGACCTCACTGTACCTTATTCATTACTTAGAAACTCTCCCGTAACATTTATTGTGTAGTGGTGGGGCCAGCTTGTAATCCCAGCACTCTGGAGGCTGAGACCCAAGAATCACAAGTTTGAGCCTAGCATGAGTGACACGGGTACACCAGATCTCAAAATGAAACAGAAAAATTCTTTTACAAGAGTAGGGATGTAGCTCAGCACAAAGGCCCTAGATTTAATCCCAGTACATCCCACACACATGCACACACTTGACTTATTCAAGTGTATTCCTATTATCTTGTTTTAAATTAGCAGGGTATCAGAAACACAGCACACTCACCATTCCTCACTGGTAACAGGACTGCTCTTATTTAACTGCTGGTGCAGATCTTCATTTTCTTTCACCACTTCTTGGACTCGTGTCCTAAACGTTCTCATTTCTTCCTGAAATGAAATCGGTGTGAATTGTAACCCACGTGTCCACACGCATCTGCAGAGCTCAGATCCTGTGACCGCTGTGGCTCAAATCAGACGTCAGCAGCGCCTGGCAGAGTCTCGCCCTCACACCGACCTCACGCTGAGTCCTGGTGCCCTGAGCTCGCCCTCTGGTCCTCACTGGTGAGCACGGCCATGTACCCGACAGGGACAAAGCCTGAGTTCAGTTCTTCCATCCCTTATTTGGTAACTCTTTTTCTTAGAGCCAATACTTGAAAAATTAAAGTGTGATTAAAGAGAAAGCAGAGGTCCATGAGTACTATGTTTTGGTTTGTTTGAAGACTTTGGAGGATATAATGCAGTTTTTTATGTAATAAATGAGAACATTCCATCATTCATGAAAACCTATTTAGGTGGGGAAAGGGTTAGTGCGGGGAACACGAGGCGCTGGCTCCTTTGCCAAAGAGGAGGAAGCTGCTCTGCTTGGATATCAGTTCCCACCCTCCGTCAGCCAGCAGCCTCCCAGGAGAAACCCGAGAGTTGGTCTCAGGTTGACTCTTCCTAACCTGTATCTCCGTCATCCACTGTGGTTCTCAGCCAGCACCTGGCTGGCTCCAGCGTCCTGTGCTGTACTTTGGTGAGAATCTTCTGCACCAACACTTACTCAGGGTTTATGAAATATTTTCCCGGCTGTCATTTAGCTACACCTGTTTGTCTTCAAGCAGCTTTGCCAAGTAACCTGCCCTCTTCTCTCCCTGCTGCCCAGACAAACTCACCAGTTCCTGGCCACTCACCTGACTATTTAGAACAGAGACAGGCAAACTAAAGCTGGCAAGCCAGCTGCCTGTCTTTGTAAATAAAGTTTTATTGAAACAGCCATTGTTACACGTTGTCTATGGCTACTCTTATGCTATAGCAGTGGACTGAAACTGCCACAGCCCACGAAGCCAGAACTATTTTATTAACTGGCCCTATATGGAAAAAGTGGGCTGCCCCTGATTTAGAAAGAACACTAAAATAGCCGGGTGGGATATAATCCCAGCACTGTGGGAAACTGAGGCAAAATAACTGTGAGTGTCTCAGCCTGGCAACTTGGAGACTTAGTGAGACCCAGTCTCAAAATTTAAAATGAAAAGGGTTAGGGATGTAGCTCAGTGTGAAGTTCCTTGGGTTCAACCCAAGTATCAAAGGAAAAAAAAAAAGCACCAAAATAGCAATGTTACTATTAGGATTGATGGGGGGTCGGTTACTAGGGTTCTAACCCAGGAGCATGTTAACACTGAGCTTGGTTCGGGTCTGGATGCCCCACCCTCAAATACTTATGTGGCCATGGGGGCGCAGGCTTTTCAGAGGTCACCGAATCTAGAGTTTGTGATTGGTTCACTATTTCGTGCTGGAAGTGGGAGTGGGAGTGGGGGTGCTACATACCCTAGCGGGGAGGGGTAGCCTGCAAACAATTCAAGGGAGGGAAAGAAGGCTTGCTCTTCCTGGCTTTTGCTCTTCCTCGCTTTTGCTATCTTCTGCTGCCTTGACCTGTTGTCCCTGTGCCATGCCATCCTTAGAGCCAGTTGATTACAGACTAAAACCTCCATAAATTGTGAGCTAAATAAATCTTTCTTCATTTAACTTTGGGTGTCGGGTGTTTTGTCTCAGCAACTGGAAAACTGAGATAGAGCTACACCCCCAACCCTTGCTATTTATTATTTTGAGACAGGCTGGTGCTAAATTGCTCAGGCTGGCCTCAAACGTATAATCTACTGCTGGCTCCTAAGTAGCTGGGATTATAGGGATATGCAACCATACCAGCCCCAAAAGTCCCTTAAAGTGGTGGCCTCTGTAGCTCTGGAATCCCAGGAAAGCAGGGCCTTCCCACTGCTACCTTCTCTGTACCCCACAATCCCTGCCCATGTGGGGCTCCCCATCCAGGAAACAGAGCTCCCATGGATCAGCACCCTTCCCGCTGCACACCTCCCTCTCTCCTTCCCACCTCCTCCCTGCCAGTCACTCCCTAGCTTCCACCCTTCTGCCTTCCCTCCTTCCTTCCATCCTGCTCTCCCCCCCTCTGCCATACACCTCCCTTCTCACCTCCTTACTCTAACAAACTTTGCAGCAGTAGTATCTGCCGCTTGCTGGGCGTACTTATCTTTAGAATCTTCCTGGAAAGTTTGAAATAGGCTCATCAGTCTTGTCTCTCCTGAGACATCTGCCAGCCTACCTCAAGGGCGGCATTGAGTTCGTCCTTCTCTTTCATTCTGTCTTCATAAGCCAGCAGCAGCGGGGAGAGATACTTCACATCCACCTGGAGATCACAGTGACAGGAGCAGTGCAGTAAAGGGTAATTAAAACATTTCCTACATCTAAATGCAACCAGCAAATTTTTAAAAGGTGAAACACCCACTTATTTTGAAATGGTTCTTAGTAGCTGTGCAAATAGAGCTGAGAAAATAGGGTCCTGAAATTAAATAATTTTCACTTACCAACCAGGGTGGTATAGGGCCCTTTGATGGGAGGCCTTCATTATGGGAACTCTAAGAAAAAGCACATGTTGAAGACAAAATAAACTATACTTCCTTGCAAACGGCAAGTCTTAGACTTCTGCTAGGAGGCTGCTTGTGGCAAGGATACTGAGGCTTCAACCATGGCCTCTGCACTGAGCTACAGTCCCAGACCTTTTTTTTTTTTGAGACTGGGTCTTGATAAGTTGCCCTTGTTGGCCTTGAACTCAAGATTCTCCTGCCTCATAAGAGTTGCTGGGATTACAAGCATATGTGTCTTAGTCTTAAATTAGACCAGGTATCACTCATCTGTGTGTGTGTCTGTGTGTGTGTGTGTGTGTGTGTGTGTGTGTGTGTGTAACAAAACTCATTTCTGAAGTGATTTAGAGTAGTGCCTCTTTTCCTCTAGACACATCAGTGTATATTTCCTAAAAATGAAAGCATTCATATATCCAACAACAGCGCCATCACAAAAAGGAGGAAATCAAAACTAATACAGTATTATTTTCAAACACACAGACTATCTTCAATTTTGTTGACTTTCCCAATAATGTCCTTTCCAGTCAGGGATCCACTCTAGGGTCGCATTTCAAATCCAGTGTCAACTTTTTCTTTATTGTTTTGTACTGTGAGGGCCAGAAGTCTGAGCCTCGAGTGACACAGGCTCAAGCTGCACCACCGGGCCACATACTCGGCTTCCTGTGCTCTGTCCACTGCTGCGCTGTCCCGCTGTGTCACCAAGGGGCTTTGTTGCCTTGATGATGCGGGCGGGAGGGAAGAAGGTGCTCTGAGTATATTTTTATACTAAAGTATAATAAACAAGAACCCAGTGGAATCAGAAATCAATTCAACTGTAACGGCTAGAAAAACATCTGATCTATTTTGGTAAGAAACATTACCTCTTCTGTGGACAAATGCCTGAATTTTGTTTGATATCTACTCAGCTCTACATTCAAACGATGGACGGTCATTTTCAAGCCATCATTTTCATCCACCAGCTCTTGGGCTTGTTTCCTGAGATAAAGTAATTCAGGTACAGCAACTCCTGAAAGAAAAACCCATGTAACATTATGCTGTGATACCTTCTATAACATTTATCAAGGTTTTATATATGTTACTCCTTTTTTGTCTTTTGATACAGGTGGTAGTGTTTCATACACCTATAGTATAAATGAATGAATGAAAAGTTGGCGAGTTTTTTTAATACCAGTCAACACTGTTTTGGAAGTTTATGTGTTCAACATGGCAAAAGAGTAATTCTAAACTGGAAAGAAGCAGTCATTTCAGAAGATATATATGTGTCTTGAAAGTTACATCAAATAAATGGAAAATGTGTCAAAACATAACTTTCTCATATAACAGCAATGTTTAATTAGAAAACATGATGGAAAATAGAGCCCACAAAAGTACACAAAGAAACAACCCAGAAATAAATGTGTCTAAGACAAGGAATATACAGTTTGTTTGCAAAAAACTGAACCACTTGACTTATGGACACAATATTCACCTCATATAAATACAAAAAGGTATAAAAATAGTGAAAATTTATGTAACCTTAGGAAAGGACTTGATGCCAAGGGCATATGTCATAAAAGGGAAACATTCTAGAAATTGAGTTGAACTATCAACAAACTAATAATATACATTAAAAAGGTTAAAATCTTTAACTCACGAAGACTTTGTACAAGTCAAGAAAAACCATAGTACTTCAACTTAAAGTAGGCAAACTTATGAGTGAAAAAATGTATGAGATAATGCAGGTGTGGTGGCACATGCCTGTAATCCCAGCACTCAGGAGGCTGAAGGCAGCTGTGAGTTCGAGGCCAGCTGGGGCTACATCATGAGTTCAAGGCCAGCCTGAACTGAATAGTGAGACCCTGTCTCAGACGGAGAGAGAGAGAGACAGAGAGAGAGAGAGAGAGAGAGAGAGAGAGAGAGAGAGAGAGAGAGACAGAGACAGAGAGAGAGAAATAGAAAAAATTATGAGATAAAAAATCCAAATAAAAAAGCACTAAAAACCCCAAAAAATGTATGTGGTAAAATGTCCACATAAACATCAATAAATATATAACATGAAATATTAAATAATAAGGTGAGTGAAATCACTTTTATTAACCCTTTAATAAAGAACTGGGTACATGTCCCCACCTTCCTGAGAGGACGCTTTCTCAGCCTCTTTCGGTGTTCCATTGTCTTGTTCCATCCTTTTAAGTTTTAACTGTAATTTTTTCGTTTCTTGTTTTATTACATTTAGTTCACACATAAGGACTTGATTTGCGTTGCTTAGGTGCAAATTTTCTTCTTTTAACTCCTTAAACTTTTCTTTGGTTATTTCTATACATCTCTGATGTATTCTCCCAGTTACATCTGAAAAAGTACAAGGGAAAAACAAGTTTTGATGTTTACCATTTTACATCGAAAAGACATGAGGCTGTACTTCCAAATCCGTGGGAGCAACTATGTCATGTCAGGCTTAGAGCTGCGTTCTCGGTCCCTGGCAAGGGAATGGCCGTGCAGGAAGAGGCCTGTAGCCTCGGAAGGCCATAGTGGGTGGCTGGAAGAGAGGTCACAGAGGGAGGTAGGGCCACTGAGGCCCTGGGTTTGGTAACAAAGGGAGGAGTTTCCACCTTGAGCCCACCAGGAGCCAGAGAGCCCCGGGACAGAGGGCTGAGCAGGGAGCAGCTTACTCTCAAGATGCTGAGGTGGAGGGGAGTGCAGTGGACTGCAAGGAGGCTCAGCTAGAGGGAGGTTAAGGGGCAGCACGGAGTGGGGCAGAGCAGCGGAGACAGAGACAGCAGGATCTGGGGGCTGAAACCAACAGTCTCCACGGCTCACTGTGCACGGGCAGTGAGGGAGGGAAATCAACGGTGAGTTCCTTAAACCAAAATGACCAGAGGCTCTTGTGTGGGGCTAAGGCCAGCAGTAGCCCCAAAAGATCACATTGAAGATCCCGGCGGTCTCATGCCTACCAAATCCTCAAGCCGCTGAGCTGTTGACTGCTGTCAACCAAGCTGTTATCTGACCTCAGAAGAGAGAGAGAAACAAATTTCCCAAACAGTCAATTTTAATTGACCAGGATACTGAACTTCTCTCTACTGAATCCTTAAGACAAACAAACAAACCAACAAGTAACCTGATATAAACCAGCCAGCTATTTTTCTACAGTCCTGTCTCCCTACACTCAATTTACATGGAAAGAAAGAGAAAGGACCAATCCAGTGGGGCAGGGTGGGGTGGGGTACTGGGAACTGAACAGAGGACTTTCCCACTGAGCCACATTCCCATTTGGGGGTTGTTTTTCTTTTTTGCTCTGTTTTTGAGACAGGGTCTCGCTATGTATTTCATGTATAATGACCTTGAACTCATTATACAGGCCCAGCTGCCCTGGAACTTGCAGCAATCCTGCTGCTTTAGCCTCCAGAAAGCTGGGATTACAGATGTACACTACCAAGTGCCTGGTAATCCCTAAGCCTTTTTTATTTTATTTTAATTTTTATTTTTGAGGTATGGTCTTGCTAAGTGGTCCAGCTGGGTTCCAATGTGCAGTCCTCCTGCCTCAGCCTCTCACAGTGCCAGGATGTCAGATATGTGCCATCTTGCCTGGCTTCCAATCCTCTTTCGCTCTTCTTTCTTTCTTTCTCTGCCTAGAAAGCCAGCCTTCTGCTCAGCTCAGTGGAAAGTTGGTTGTTTTATTCAAGGCTACCTGATGCTAGAATCACAAGTAAATCCCAGTGAGGTCACAATACCACATCTACTGTTAGTTCTGGGCAGAGAGAGACCTGGACAAGGGGCAAGAGAGCAGGAGTGAGATTCCAGTAGGAGGGAAGGTTAACTCAGGCCAGGAGATGGCCACAGCTGGGAAAGCAGCCCCAGCAGGACAGATGTAGAAGTCACCAGCCAGACACAAAGCCTAGAGGTGCAAGGAAGAGGTGAGAAAGGATTTCAGAAAGGAACAAGAAATGTTAGAGCTGAACAGAGTTCCAAGGGGTGCGGACCACAGCAGGCCCTGACCAGGGCAGGCTCCTACTCGAGGCGGAGGCGGAGGCAGAGGCAGACAGGGCAGGAGGGGCACCCTGACCCCTGACACATGCATGTGCCATCCCCAGAATAGTGATGGTGAACCTTCTAGAGCTTTCAATGATAACACACACCACCGGTCCACCACTACCGCCTGAGGTCTGCAGAGGTGGGTAACAGGACCAAAAGGGAGGTGACACAGGGAGGCAGGGCCAGGGGAGGCCTGGAGTTTTTTTATAATAAAGACAAGAAGGCTGAGAAATGGGGAACTCCACAGCTATATTGAACACAGGAGGGAAGCATAAGAGAAATCCCAGCAAGAAAGTACAGTGTAGTTGAGATTAAACTGAAGGGGGAAGCCAAGGCTAACTCATGCTAGGAGAGGCCAGCAATAGGGGAGTGTCATGGCTGACATCTAGATGTTCCCCCAAAACCTCATGTGCTCATGGGTGTGGCTTTTGGGAAGCATTTCAGACTGAAATCTCTACAAACTTTGAGCTGAAATACACCTTTCTTCCTTTGATTCTGGGTAATGGGTATTTTGTCCCAGCAATAAGAAAGTAACTAAGCCAGAGTGAGCAAGGTAAATTGGCCAGGAAAGAGCTGATACGGGATCTGATTAGAGCACCAGCATGCAAGTAGCAAGCAATTAACCCATGGGTCAAGCAGTAACGGCAGAGATGTGCGTGGCCTGCATCAGACAGATGGAGCAGGTCAGGTGCTGCAGAAACCCCGGAGGAAGAATGGCTTCCATACCACCCAGCTGGCCACCCCTCCTGCCATCCCCACCGATCAATGGAAATAGGCTACATGCCTGGCAGCCCATAGGTTTCCCTTATCCAAGTACCCTGAGTAGAGACACTGCATTTCCAGATAGGCCAGCGGGGACTCGCAAGGACCAACATGAGCACTCTACCAAGAGAACCATCAAGTATCTCAGCCACGAGAATCACCGAAGTCAAATGAGAGAGAAGGGGAGCGGAGTGCGCACAGATACACAACTGGATGAATATACTACACTTAAGGTTCTCAGAAGAAGCCAGGTGTGATGGCACAGGCCTGCAATCCCAGCGTTCTGGGAGACTGAGGCAGAAGGAACTCAGGTTCAAGCCTCGCCTACGGAATTTAGACCTTGTCCCAAAATAAAAAATAAAACTGGCTAGGGATGCAGCTTAGTGCAAAGACTCTGGTACAGCAAGAAAAAACTTCATATATTCAACCCCAGCATGACAAGAAAAAAACAATGTTCATATGTTAGTATCTCAGAGAAACCATCATGATTAATAACATAAATTCAAAGGATGGGCTGAACAGAATACTTATAAAGAAGTTAGAGCCCTGGCACCCTCCCAGAATGCAATAGCACAAGTCCCAAGACACAAAGCGCAAACAGTCAACCCAATGCACAAGACAGATGAAAACTGGATTATCAGACTAGTGGTGCAAGTCATATCAGTTCCAGATCACAAAATCCATCCCACTCCCGTTTTTTTTTTTTTTTTTTTTGGTCTTTTTGAGACAAGGTCTTGCTTGCTTTTTGCAGTTCAGGGTGGCCTTGAGCTCACTTTGTAGCCCAGGCTGGTCTCGAACTTGCAACAATCCTCCTGCCTCAGCCTCCCAAGTACTAGGATTACAGGCATGTGCCATCACACCTGGCACTACAAAATGCCCCTTGAAAGCTCCTGCAGCTCTCTAAACTGTGCAAGTAACACATCTCATAAAGTATTGCCCCAGAGCAGAGCCCTCATTTGCATATGCCAGGGCCTGAATACACCCCATGCTGCACCCCACCACACGACCCATGTTAGGGTCTGTATCTAGATATCCCCTGAAGCCTCATGCCAGCCTATGTGGAGCTGTGGGGAGGTTCCTGGATTTTGTGGGTGCTACACACACACACAGGTGGATTAGTCCCCTGATGAGTTTAGAGCTAAATTGCTGCTCCGAGAGGCCAGTCACTGGGGATGAGGCCTGGAAAGGTTTATCTCCCTGATTGGTTCCTCCTCTGGCTCCTTCCCGCCAGCTAACTACAGCCTATAGTTAGTTACATGAGCCAAAATGAGCCTCTTCTTCGTGTGGCAAGAGTGAAGGTGTTTTGTCCCAGGCAGAGGAGAACAATTAAGACACCCAGTGTCTGGACCTTCTTTCCAGAGGCAAAGGCAGAAGTTCAACAGCTGACAAACCCTCTTCCCCAGTCCGAGTGGAGCAGAGGCAACACCCCTTTTAGGGGAAGGAGACTGAGCTGAGTTCCCAGGGAGGCTGTTCTGTGTGTCCTCTAAAACAATGGTCCACTCACACACAAGAAACGAAGAAGGCAGGTACCTGGGGAGGGAGGCGGCTTCTCACGCAAGGCAGTCCCTTCACCCTAGGGAAGAAACATCTCGGTGTGAGCTCAGGAGCGAGTGTGTTCTCAGCGGCGTGGGCAGGCAAAGCCCAGTGCTCAGACCCCCAGTGTACAAGCACACTTCCTGCTGTACTTCAGCTCTTGTGGGGCTCAGTTTATTTGAGCTTTAGGAACTTTAATCTTTGTTTTGTCTAGTTGTCCTGGGGAGGGAAACCAGGGCCGTCACACTGAGCTGCACCTACAGCCCTCTTTTATTTTTGATTCTGAGACAATCTTGCTAAATCACTAAGTTGGCAGGCTGTCCTTGGATCGTGATGCTCCTGCCTCAGCCTCCCAGAGGGCTGGGATTACTAGTCTGTACCACCACGCCCAGGAAGTTTCTCAGAACTGAATCCTAAACTTTAAAGAGCATCCTGCCTGACTCGTCTCTGTTTTTTGCCGAGTTCAGAGACTGCATCACTATGTGCAGCTCCAGCAAATGCCAGGCCATCAGTCACTTGGCTTTGTAGAGCAGGCGATGGGAATACTGAGCACAGATACACAAACAGGCCCTCTTCTCACTGGGATATGAAAACTCCAACCGGGGCCAGGGATTTAGCTCAGCAGTACAAGTGCCTGCCTGGCAAGCGCGAGGTCGTGCATTTGATCCCCGCTACCAAAAAAACCAAACCAAAACAAAAAACCCCACCAACTTTCCAGGTGTGGGGATGCAAAGTACTTTGGGAGGCTGAGACAGGAGGGTGGCAGTTTTGGGTCCAGCCTGGGAAACACAGCCACTTTGCAAGACCTTGTTTCAAAATAAGAAAATAGAAAAGAGCTGCAGGTGTAGTGCCCTGGGTTCAAGCCCCAATATTGGAGAGAAGAAAACAAAAGGACTCTGTTATCTACAGCAAAGCATGTTTTTAAAATATTGAAAAAAAAGACGTGATATTAGTTCAAAACTGAGAAGGAAAGGCTTTGAACATTAGTTATGTTTTCTATAATGTGTTGATGTGATATTAGGTTTTTATTTCTGTTGAAAAGGATATAAAGTTATTAATTAATTTACTGAGAAACGTTTCATTTTTACATTCCTATATCCCACCACTAAACCTACTTGGATTTCCTTGTCGGCAAATTAGTTCTTGAAATTGTTCATTACTTCTACACGTGACATGATTTCTAACTTTCCAATGCATTGTTTTCATTACTAAATTATAGAAAATATGAGTCTCCTCATTAAAAATATTTAAGTGAAATATTCATTACGAAGCTTTTCTGTTTCTTTTTTTTTGAGACCAGGTCTCCCTATGTAGTCCACGCTGGCCTTGAACTCCCAGCAATCCTCCTGCCTCAACCTCCTGAGTGGGCATGCACCACTGCCCTTAGCTTCAGGAAATAACTTTCATGGGAAGATTTTTTCCCCCTAAAAACCATAAAGAGTATTTAAAAATTATGGTGGAAATTCAATTTATTGAGATTATGAGGGTTTTTTTTTCCAGATATGCACTTACCTTTAAATCCAGAACAGAGCCCTTATCATCTGATTAAAGACAAAAAAATTCAAATAAGTAAGACATTGACGACTTGGAAAAGTACAATCACCTCTCACACAAGCATCTAGCAATACAGATGTTGCAAGGCCACACAGCAAGCAGGCCCCAGGGCCAGCTGTCACCTCCATCTACCATGCTTTCTCCCAAGCACCTTCCAAGTCTCCAAGGATTGCAGATAAAGCCCCTCCCGGGTGCCTTCCCTGCTGGCGCCTCCCAGCCTCTTCATCCTCCTACAACTTCCTCCAGTCCTCCACAAGGGTTGATTCCTTACTATGCAGCCCAGGCTGGCTTCAAACTCACAGCAATCCTCCTGCCTCGGCCTCCCAAGTGCTGAGATTACAGGTACACACCACCACACCTGGCTTCTTTATTTATAATTATTAACCAAGTTGCATTCAAGCAACTGTCCTGGGGCAGCCTGGGCTGCCAGCACATGCTAGTGGTCTGGAAAGACCTTGTTCTCTACCTGCTACGGCCCCAGCAGAGGGAACCCCCTACCTTCTTAACTCTCACCCCTGTCTTGCTATGCAGGTCAGTAGGGCCTCAAACTCAAACTCACGATGTAGCTCAGGCTGGTCTCAAGTCCACCCTCAGCCCCACAGTGCCGGGATTATAGGCATGTGCCACGGCACCAGTTGGAAAAGTTTGTATTTTTAATAACACTTTTAAAATAGTCTTGAGGGAGGCCAGGCATGGGGCACATGCCTGTAATTCCAGCCTTGAGAGGCTGAGGCAGGAGGGTTACAGGTTTGCGATCAGCAGAGGGCTCATAGTGAGACTCTGCAGCTTTCTAGGTCCCCCTTACACTCATCACAAAATAAAGATGACAGGTGGGTGGGGGGTTAGAAGAAAGGCCAAACGCTGAAGGTACGGAAGCTGACAGGAGGTGGGAGTTCACTTTATATTCTCTTTACTTTTGTATGTGTTCAAAATTATCAAAAAAAAATGTTAAAGGCAATTTACTCATATTCCCAAACAAAAGAAAGATGTCTATTGCATGTTAACTATCAACTTTTCAGGAAAAGAACCCAGTGAAAAGGAAACTGAATTTATATTACCCAGGTTTACTTTGGTACTTAATGTGCATGCAGTTCAACTGGCTCTGTTTTTATTTTATATCCGGTTTTTCATTTAACATTTCTCAAAATATTTCCTGAGTCCCTGCCCTTCTCATTTCTAATACCTGTGTGGGCAAGACATATAGATACCTAACATAATAGGGCCTCCTATGAGGGGGAGCATCTTACTGTATCTGAGATGCCACATCAGGCATCATCCCAAACTTTAGAGAAATTACAAACACATTCTAATACTGCAGGTAAATCAGAAATCTGCTGCATTTGTGGTCCCGAGCCTTTCCCTCCCTGGATTTAGCCATGATTATCAACTGGGCATGTTTCCTTTCAGCTCTATTTGAATGTATAAAAGTTGGACACGGCCTTACCTCCCACTCCCTTTCACAAGTCTACATACAAGAGATATTAAATATTGGGAGAAGAGTGGCATATGCAAAGGTCCGGTGGCAGAAGGGAGCTGGGATTACCAGACCTGGATTTTGATTTTTTTTTTTAAACAGAAAAAACTTCTGTAATTTAAAATATATGCTTTTTATGTGAATTTAATATTTGTATTAATTTATTAACACTAGTCAATATTTTAAAATATACACAGGCAGGTATAGTGGCACACACTTGTAATTCCAGGTACTCAGCAGGCGTCAGCCTTGATGCAGGAGGATCACTGAGTCCAGGAGTTCAGGGTCAGCCTGAGCAACATGGCAAGACCTCCTATCAGAAGGTACATACAGACATGCACACACATATATCTATACGTGGTATAGGAGCTGTTATGTCTGTTATGTCCCCCCAGGGCCTCATGCTGTCACAAGTGGGGCTTTTCAGAGATGGCTGGATCTAGAGTGCATGATGCTGGGACTGATTTGCCCTGTGATGCTAGGAGAAGGGTGCCCCACTCTGGGTGTGAGCGTGGGTAGCCTGGATAGACTGTGAGGGACAGAAAGAGGGCTGCGGCCATCACTCCTGCTTGCTGCTTTTGCTGCCCTCTGCCTGCCATGAACTGTTGCCCCTGTGCCATGCCACCCTGCCTTGGAGCCAGCTGATGACAGACTGAAGCCTCTCAAACTGAGCTAAATAAACCTTTCCCCCTTTAACTTTGGGTGCTGGGTATTTTGCCTCAGCAATGAGAAAAGTAACTAAGACACTGAGGAAGAGCAGTTTTCTGGTCCAGGTACTACGAGGCTAGCTTTCTGGTTTCCCCAGAGTCCAGGTTGCTGTGAGGGTCCCGATGAAGCAGCCACTGGTGGCCTGCTGTGTGCCGTCTCTCCTGTCCACTTCCAAACATAACTCTCTCTGAGGAACTTTGAAACCTTCACTGCAATACACCGCCCACTCCCACAGTGCTAACAAACACTGCGTGACGGCAGCTGGTGTGCAGTTTTACAATTGTATCCGCGCTCATGGCACTCAGTGAACCCTCACTGCCAGCCCAAGAGGCCAAGCCCCGCTCAGGAGAGGGCATGGGGGTCAGGGGACAACACAGGTAACCTCACCTGTACACCTGGGCAGCAGAAGACAGAAGTCTGGTCAGGGCACTCTGCCCCATCTGCCCTCTCGCAGCCCAGGGCCTGCGCCATCTATGTCAAAGGCAGTCTAATATCCAGTGAAGATGAATCTCAAGTACATTCCTAGGTAAGACCCCGGAAGCATGGTATGGAGGTTCAGCAGCACCAATATTGGCATCCAGCATGCTCACAAGAATTTGGGTGTTTTTTTTTACCTTTTTGTTGTATAGGTTGAGGTGTAAGAGATTGGGAGCCTGGAAACCCTTCTTGCTCAGAAATATTTTCATCATCTTCACTGTCCACTTCATTTGACAATGGCACCTTTTTGTTACACAAGACAAAGGAGCAAACATGGGATATGGGTTACTTGCATAATACATCCCACACCAAACTGCAACATTTTATTTATACTGAAGCACCCTGCTGCTTTCCTTCATGAGGCCAAAAGAACCACCCCCAGGGCCCAAGAACACCTCCTCGGCCAAGAAATACATGTGATGCATAGCCATGGGGGTGGATGTCCCACCCAGGCCCTGGAGACACTGCCTGTCCCCACTCCTGTCAGAGAGCAACCAGGAATGAGCTCTCTCAGGCTGCTGGGCACAGCACCCAATACCATCCTGCTCCAGCACCTATGCTGACAGTCATTCCCATGGGATGGGACTGCTGACCTGCCTGGAGAACTGTGACCCATGTCACCTGGGCAACTGTTCAGGACAGAGGCTCACCACGGTCGCTGACTTGATTCCACTGTTGGAATGGAAGTCTCCCTCCACTGTCACGATGGGCACCTATGTGGGTATCAAAAGTGGCAGGGCCACAGAGCTGTCATTAGAGGCCTATGCTCAGGAATGGGACTTTCCCTGCTGAGGAAGGGACATCCCTGCTGGCTGGGCTCTGGGGAATAGGGACAGGGGCTGCCCACGAAGAGCCAGAAGCGAGTCTCGCAGGCAGCTGCCCTTCTACTGCCCAGATGCTGTGGTGAGCTCCTGCTGGGATCAGCCTGGCAGCGGGGCTGTGCTGAAGGCTGGCGGGGAGGTGGTAGCAGCCACCAGCAAGATGCCATAAGAAGGGGCACTTCAGAGCTCAGAGCCGAGGCTACTGGGTCCGCAGGCTTTGTGCACATGGCTCCCAGATGAACTGGCTCAGGGCAGGAGCAAGCAGGCGGGTCTCTCAATCTACTTTTCATTTGAAGGCAAAAGAAAAAGGGCTCCTCGCTTGCGTGTGTGTGTGTGTGTGTGTGTGTGTGTGTGTGTGTGTGTGTGTGTGTGTATGTGTGTGTGTGTTAGAGAGAGAGTGAGAGATTGTAGTGCCAGGAACTGAACACAGGGCCTCCCACATTGTAGGCAATACTCTACTACTGAGCTACATCCCCGGCCCTTCTTACTTTATTTTGAGACAGAGTCACTGAATTGCCCAGGCTGACTTAAAAACTGTGACCCTCCTGCCTCAGACTCCAGAGTAGCTGGGGTTCCAGGTGTAAGTCACCACACTTAGCACTCTACTTGCTTTTCACCCCCCTGGAACAGCCCCTCCCCGCCTAGATATACTAAACCACCCACTGGGATCTAGGGAACCTGACCCTGGTAAGAGCACTCAAAAGAGCATTAGAAAGATGCCCGGTCAGCAAACAGATGACCAATGCCTGCGATGGTGCGTTCCTACTCTTCGGGCCTTTCATCCACAGCAGGTAGAGACACGCGCATGTCCATGGACTCCTCTGCAACTGTTCACACCAGCACTATGCCCAACAGCCCCAAACCGGAAGCAATCAAACCAGTAAAGTGGGTAAATAACTGGCTGGCTGGTTACACAATGCAATGATGATAGCAGTAAGAATGCAATGATGATAGCAGTAAGAATGAACATACGGCTGCCGCTACATATGACGGACGGGTAAAGACTTCGAAGTACGGCACGGTGAAGTTCATGTAACTTTCAGGGCTGGCAAAACCAAATGCAAGACTATTTTCCTTTAATGCTGGGACTGACCCCAGGGCCTCCCAGAGAGGTACATCTCCAGCCCTAACTCACAGGATTTTTAAAGATCTAATCTAATTTTGGAGTTAGACAATGGTAAAGTCTGGTCAACTGGTAACTGAGAAGGAGGACTCTGGAATCCTGGAAAAATAGTGATGCTTTTTTTGTTTTCTTAGAGAGGTCTCACTTTGCAGTTCAAGCTGGCCTCATCCTCCTGCCTCAGCCTCCTGAGTGCTGGGATTACAGTTGTATGCACTACAACGTTCATCTGAGTTATGTTCTGCTGAATTTCTACTTTATGTATATGTGGCATTGAGAATACAAAATCAACATTCAAAAATCAATAACCGCCAGGTGTGGTGGCGCCCCTGAAATCCCAGCACTCAGGAGGCTGAGGCAGGAAGAATGTTGCAGTTCGAGATTAGCCTGGGATACAAAATGACCTCAAGATCAGCCTGAACTGCATAGCAAGACCCTGCTTCAAAAAAGGAAAAAAGAAAAAAAAATCAATAGCCTTCCTGTATACAAATAACAAACTTGCTGAGAGAGAAATTAGGGAACCAATGCCTTTCACAATAGCACCTAAAAAAGTGAAACACCTAGGAATAAATATAATAATGTAAAAAATCTATACATTGAAAACTACAGTACTCTGAAAAAGGAAATTGAAGATATTAGAAAACAGAGAGATATCCCATGTTCTTGAGTAGGAAGAACCAATGTAGCGAAATGACCATACTTTCAAAACTGTTAGACAAATTCAATGCAACCCCAGACAAAATCCAATTTAGACAAATTCAATGCAACCCCAAACAAAATCCAATAACTCATCTCACAGAATTAGAAAAAACAATCCTAAAATTCACCTAGAACTGGAAGAGATCTAGAATAGCAAAGGCAATCCTGGGCCTCAAGGGCAGGGCAGAGGGTATCACATTCCCTGACTGAAATTACACTATAAAGCTAAAAACAGCATGGTACTGGCAAAAAAATTTTAAAAACTCAGACCTGAAGGTCAGTGCAACAGATTAGAAGATACAGAAACAACGCCAGACATACTCAGCTACTGTATCTTTGACAATGTACCAAACACATTCACTGAAAGAATGAAAGCCTCATTAATAAATGGTGCTGGGAAAACTGGCGCTACACACACCAAAGATTAAAGCTGTATCCACATCTTTTACCAGGCACTAAACTAAATTTGGAATGGATCGAAGAACTAAATATTAAAACAGAAGCAGTAAATCTACTGGAAGATAGAGTAGGTAAAACTCTAGTAGACACTGGTGTAGACAAAGACTTTATGAACAAAATTCCAACTGCTCAGGAACAAAGAATCAACAACTGGGATCTCCTCTTATTTAAAAGCTTTTGCACAGCAAGAGAAACTACCAACAGAGTGAAGAGACAGCCCACAAGGTGGAAAATAAAGGTTTGCCAGCTGTTCCTCAGACAAAGGATTACTATTGAAAACATATAAAGAACCTCCAAAAAATTAGTCCTCCAAAATTTAAAGACCTAATCCAAAAATGGGCATCTGAGATGAACACACATCTCAGATATACATCACAGATAAAGAAATATAAACAGCAAATAAATATATGAACAAATGTTCAACAACATTGGTCATTCAAGTGATGCAAATTATAACATCACTGAGATTCCACCTCACCCTGGAAAGAATGGCTATTATTAAGAAATCAAGCAATAACAAATTCTGGAAAGGCTATTGGGAAAAAGGAACTGTTGGTGGGAGTGTAGACTGGTGCAACCACTATGGAAATCAGCATGGAAATTCCTCAAAAAACTAGGATTAAAGGTCCAATTCCATTTAGCTATTCTCCTTCTGGGTGTCTTCCCAGAAAAATTAAAAATGTTGTACCACAGCGACATATGTGGACCCGTGTTTATAGCAGCACAATGTGTAATCGCTAGATTTTGGAAACAACCTAAATACTCATCAACTGAGGGATGGATAAAAATGATCTGGTATTTTTATACAATGAAGCACTACCCAGCCATAAAGGATAAACTGGAGACTTTTATAGGTAAATGGATGCAACTTGAAAATATACTCATTGGGGCTGGGGATTTAGCTCAGCGGCATAAGTGCCCGCCTTGCAAGCAGGCAGCCGTGAGTTCGATCCCTGGTACCAATAAAAAAAAAAAAAGAAAAGAAAAGAAAACATACTCATTAATGAAATAAATCTGACATGCATATGTAAACATTGTGTTGTCTCACTAGTAAGAGAAGCTGAAAGAAACTATATATATAAAAGACAGTTAAGATAGTTATACTCTGATTTCTTTGAGCTCATTGAAGAGGAAGGTTTGTACTATTATTGTTCGGACGATTAAATGCAGATGTCTGATACTCTGAGTAACTCATCTGAAGATAACAATACATGATGCATATACCACTGTTACCCCCAATGGTTGTGTTCTGATGTTTTTTAAGTACTCCCCAATATTTCTGATTGTGATAACTCCCTTTAGTAACTAAAACAAAACTTGCTGGGGTGTTAAAGAAAGGAAGGAAACCACAGACTCGCCGCCCCAGGGCTGACAAGGAGGACAGCAGGGAGCCTTCCCTCCTGCCTGCAGCACTTATGCAGCCTCTCCCTCCTCTGCTGGGGGTAGGACACTGACAGACAGGAGGAGCAAAGGTCGCAGGTGCTGTCCATCACCTTTAGGGTGACCACTAGAGTAAAGACAGTATCATTTCTAAAGTCACAGAGAGGAAGAAACAGAACAACTGAAATAATGTCAATCCAAACAAAGAAAGGACCCCAGCACTTAGGAGGCTGAGGCAGGAGGATTACTGCCAGATCGAAGCCAGCCTGGAACTCATTCTGTAGAATGAGTTCAAGACCATCCTGAACTGCACAGGAAAACCGTGTCTCAAAAGACTAAAAAAAAAAAGAAAAAAAAAACAAGAGAGAGAAAGAAAGGAGGGCCAGGGGTGTAGCTCAGTGGTAGGACAATAGCCTAACATGTGTAAAGCCCTGGGTTCGATCCCAAGCAAAAATAAAGTAAGATGTCCAATCTAAATTCAGTCATATGCATTCATATGTACATATGTATTACAAAAAGATTAAATTCTCTGGTTAGAAGACCAAGCCAGACTGCCAAATCGAGTTAACAAAAACTATATATGGCATTGAATTGTACACTTCATTGAAATGACTTAATCGTAAGCTATGTGAATTATGTCATTAAACTAGTCTTTAAAAGCTATATGTAGTCTATAAGACGTATCTAAAATAGGACATATAAAGATTGAAATTAAAAGACAAAAAAACACTGACCAAGAAATACCAAGTAAAATGAAATTGGAGGGAAAAAATCAGCTGGTCCTGAAGACACATGGCCCTTTCAGACTCACTATACATTGAATCCTGCACATGAACCAGGGTAACAACCAGAACTCAGCCAAGATAAAGGCGCAGAAGACAGACTATAGTATGAAGAGACACAAGACAGCTGTGCACATGCCTGTGTGGCACATGCCTGTGATGCCAATACTCAAAAGGCTGAGGCAGGAGGGTGTCCTTGGCTGTGAGGCAGCATGGGCTGCACAGTGAGTTCAAGGCCAGCCTAGACCACTCAGTGAGATTCCATCTCAGCACACACACACACACACACAAATGACACTTGACAATATTCCTCTACTTAGGTGTAAGTCTGAAGAAAGGTTGTAACGAACAAACTCATACAGGAAAGTGATAGGAAAAGTAGCTTCCGACACAAATCCTCATCAAGTGTAGACATTTACCTTTGTCTTTGAGGGCCTTGATTTTGCCAGATAAAGAGGTTTAAATTTTAGCCCAACTAGATATAAATGTGGCAGGATACATTAAAAGATCCATCAGTCAATGAACCAATCCATAAAAAGCCTGAAAGCAAAAGCTACGAGTCACAGAACAGGGAAAGGAAACGCTTCCTTGGGCAGTCTGGGCTATGCGAGGTGGGTCGGCATGGGACACCGGCTCACCTGGCTTCTGTGGGGCACAGCATACACGGCATCCTGGTGGCCGCCTCTTTCTTTCCAGGTGCTGTCGTTCCCAGACTCCTTGTCACTGGATGACACCTGTGTCTCGGCGTCATCTCCCTCCCCGTAGCTCTGCGCCTCAAAGGATGGTAAAGAAATTCTTCTTCCTGTTCCACTGTGCCAACTTGGCCAGTGTTTGAATATTAAACAAAGAACATAAACAAGCGATTGAATGCTTGCCTTTGTTTTTTATTTTTTGTTTTTGCAATACTGGGGATTGGACCCAAGACCTTCACGCTGAGCCACATCCCTAGCACCCCCTCACACCCATTTCAGGTCTCACTAAGTTGCTAAATTATACCGGCTGGATTCTGACGTGCAGTCTCCCTGACTCAGCCTCTCAGAGTGCTGGGATTCTAGGCACATGTCACCATACTCAGCTGGATATCGACACTGTACTCCATGCATTCCCTCCAGGCCCCCTTATAGAATATACAGAAGCTTCAAAATTAAACCACTCACTAGCCCGTCTTTCAGTATTTCTTTCATTTAGGGAAGGGGTTTGAGACAGGTTTTTGTGATGTAGTCTAAACTGTCCTTGAACTCACAGCCATCTTCCCATCTCAATTTCCCAAATGCTGGGATCATGGGAGTGTCCCACCATCCCTGGCTCTACACTCTTTCCTTTCCAGTTATTTTTTTTTTACTTTTTTAGTCATTACTGTATGCATATACAGTCTGTCTTGGTTTTTTGGTGAATATTAAAATTTATCTTTTCTAAAAGGGTAAATGTAACAGAGTAATAATTTACTCTTTTAAGCACTGAGCAATTTAATAACACCCCCCATCTCAAAATTTTAAAAAACAGGGATGGGGTAGGGATGTAGCTCAGAGTAAAAGCCTTGAGTTCAATCCCCAATACTGTAACAAAGAAAGAAAAAAAGAAAGAAAATAAATGACTACTAGTATGTCATCATTTAGCAAGATCTACCCTCGAGAAATTTTCTTGTTTTGGGGGTTTTATTTATTTCTTTAAGACAGGTTAACCTCACAAACTTGCCAACCCCCTCTGCCCCCCAACTATGAAGAAAATTTTGAGGAAAGCAATTCACGTCCCTGGACAGTGTCCCTTTAACGTGAGTGGTAAGAGCTGAAGGACTCACAGAAGTGAGGACACACAAACACAGCGACTGCCGCACTGCGGCTCCCCCAGCGACAGTCCCTACCGAGGCCGCTGCCCGGCACTGGTGGCGTAGGGCTCCACGAGGCTGTCCTTCTCGCTGTCCTGGGCCACACAGGAGGCATCACTCTCAGACCGCGACCTCCGGCGAGGCTGGGGGATGGCAACCGTCCTCCCGGTCAGTGTTGTTGCCAAAATGACCGCAGCCAGTGCAGATCTGGGGACAGAACAGCCCACTGGGTCGGAGATGGGGTCATCCGAGCTGAAGGCTGAGCCCCTTGAGGCTTCCCTTGGGAACGACAGTGTTTACTGAGCATCTGCTTTGTGCCCACGGGCCGCTGTGTGACAGGCTCACGCCAGACCAGCTCTGCTGATGAGCACACTGATCATCAGGATCAATATCACTGTCATCCCATTTCACATAGAGATTAAATGACTGAGTCAAAATCATTGTTTTTAATTTAAAAAAAAAAAGAAAAAAATAGATGCAACAAAATGATTTTCTTATCAGTAAGAGACAGCCAAGTCTCTGATGAAGGCAGTCAGCTTTCCAAGCCTGTATCAAATGGTATTTTCATTAAGATGACAGCTCAGAACACAGAAAAATGATATAAAAAAAGATATCAAGGTTTAAAAGGCCAAATTAGTCAAAAGCATGTTACAGGAAAAACAGTAGCAGATTTATCCTCCTGCCTAAAAAAAGCAAAAGGACAGACAGGGTTGTGGCAGCTGGCTGCCTGGGGGAACGTGCAGGTCGCAGCACTGCTGAGATGGAGGATGGAACAAGACCATCCAAGAGTACTCGGAGCAAAGTAAACACTAATACACGCTATTCGTGTTATCAAGTTTGTGCTTAAGGAAAAGTCAAACACTAAGCCACTTGAGAGTGGTTCCTTTTTTTTAGGTGATGGTGCTGGGGGAATTAAACTAAACCAAGGGCCTCATGCATATTAGGCAAGTGCTCTGCCACAGAGCTACCCCTTTAGCCCTTCAGAGTGATTTTATCTTGGGGACAAGGTCTTACTATGCCGTGCAAGCCCAGTCTTGAACTCAATATGTAGCCCATAGCGCAGGCTGGCCTTGAACTCACAGCCATCCTCCTGCTTCAGCCTCCCAAGTGCTGGGACTCATAGTGATTTTTTTTTGTACTGAGAACTGAACTCAGGACCTCTCATTTGCCAGGCAGGCGCTGCACTGCTGAGCTATATCCCCAACCCTCAGAGTGATTTTTTAATCAGGAGGCATATGATACTCTAGTACCAAAGAGAACTAAAATGAAAAGTACCATCCTTTAAATTAAGTTAGTTCTCACTATTATTAGCCAAATCAGTAGTTTATAAATTAAAAGTATGCTATGCCAGGCATGGTGGTGCATGCCTGCAGTCCCAGTACTCTGTGAAGCTGAGCTCAGCCTGGTCACCTTAGTAACTTAGTGAGACTCTATCTCAAAAACTAAAAAATAAAGGGCTGGAGATGTAGCTCAATGTGAAAGGCCTGAGTTCAAAATCCCCAGTACCACAAAACAAAACAAAACCAAAAACAGAAAAACACTAGTCTAAAAGTCTCCTGTGTCTTAACACCTGGAAGACAACAGGCAGAGGTTCCAGGAATAAGAGCCAGCTGTTTGGTGGGTTCGGGGTGCGGGAGAATGGGGAATCACATGGTGTATTTCCCTCATTCTGCAGCCCAGGCTGGCCTTGAACTCATCTCAATCCTCCTGCCTCAGCCTCCAGAGTGCTCAGAATACAGGAATATACTGCCGTATCCACATAGATCTTGTAAAAGATAGAATTGTGTCTAAAGAAAATACACAATTTTTTTGATGCACAACTCAAAATTCTTTTTGAGCACTATCAAACTGGGCTTTTACGATTTATGGTTTGAAAAGTCTGAACTTTATCCAGTTGTGAAATGTGAGGGTGTCAGACACTGAGAGGGACAGAGCCCAGGGAATTTCACTGCCACTTGGAGGAGGCACAGTCAGAGGACTGTGGCAAATATTTCAAAGCATTGGATTCTAGTAGCCCTACTTGCGACTTTCTGGACAGTTTGCACATTCTGAGATCCAGTAGCTAACAGCCAAGCACCGTGATGGACCTAGATACCTGCTTATCTGAGACTCACCTTGGCCTCTCAGGGGACGGGCTGGGGCTGCGGGGGGGAGGTGTACGAGGCACTGCTGGCTTTGGAGCGATGCTGGCTGCAGGAAGGAGGCCATGGACGATGTGTTTCTGCACAAATAAAACCAAGATAGGAGAAATTGCCACTACCTCCTGCCCCTGGGATTCGGCCCTTTTCCAAGTGTATCTGCCAGGGACAGCTGCCACCACAGTGCCCTTTGTGGGGGCCTTCTGTCCCTGATCCTCAGCTTTTCTGTGCATCCCCCAGAGTCACCCTGCAGCCTCGGCTCGTCCAGCAGCACCTACCCCAGTGGTACTTCCCAGGCCTCCCCCTGCAGTAGGAATGACTTCCAGAGAAACAGGTGCCTTTATCCTGGCCAACACTAGAACCCCGGGGCTGTACACAATGACCTGTACCTGATAGGAGCTAAGGGAAGATTTTTGGTGGCTCAGCTCAAAGATGCAGAGTAAGGGCCAGGCATGGTGACTCATACCTGTAATCCTAACACTCCAGGAGGCTGAGGCAGGAGAACTGTAGGTGTGAGCAACTTAATGAGATCCTCTCTGAAAATATAAAACATTTTGAAGAGGGCTGGGAGCTGAGTGTGGTGGCACACACCTGTAATCCCAGCACCCTGGAAAGCTAAAGGAAGGGAAATGCAAGTTTGAGCCCAGCCTAGGTAATTTAACAAGATCTTATCTCAAAATAAAATAAAAAGATATAGGTATGTAGTTTGGTATTAAGGCCATGGATTCATTCCCCAGTACTACAAAAAAGAAAACTTCAAAGTAAGTTAAGAAAAACAAGCTCCTATACACAATGAAAGACAAAGTGAACACTGCTTTAGGGAACTAAAGGTGCTGGAAGTCTTTCAGAAGTTCCTTTTTAATTTTTTGAGACGGGGTCTTGCTACACAGTCAAGGCTGGCCTCAAACTTTCAGAGATCTTCCTACCTCAGCCTCCCAAATGCTGGGATTACAACACCTGGGTTGGTAGAAGTTTCTGAGACTTGCCCAAACTTTACTTTCTGGCCACCAGCCAATCACTCACATCTCTAGAGGCAGGATACCATGACAGCAATAAAGAAAATGACTTCCTCCTCAAAGACGTATAAAGAAAAAAAATACCCACATTGTCATTACAGAACACAAAATTAGCTGGGCATGTTGTGCATGACTCAGCTACAAGGTAGGCTGAGTCAGGAGGATCACAAGTTTGAGGCCAGCTGGGAAATTTAGGAAAAACTGGCCTTAAAACTTCAAAAAGAACTGGGGCTGTAGCTCAATGGTCCCTGGGTTCAACCCCAAGTACCAGTAAATAAATTACAAAATTTTAAGGGAGATATAACCACAACAGAAAAAGGCTTCTTCAAGTCTTGGAGCCAGCAAGAGGACTCAGGTGTTCTCTCTAGAGACGATCACAGAGGCATTTAGCCTGGGTCTTCGAAGACAGCCACTGTTCTGACATTTAGAATGTGATGGAAAAGCCTTCTAGGAAGAGCCAACAGCATAAACAAGGGACTGGCGTGAGACACCGGTGGCAATGCTCTGTGAATAATAAGCACCGCGGTCTGCTGGTTACAATGTCAGGAGGGAGAGCTAGGACAATGGGCTGCGGTGACAGTGGGGATTATTTCCAACTGCAAGGCTTTCATACAAGTTGAGGAGAGCTCATGGTCCTTTGAAAGCAGCCTCTTCAAAGACTAATGGTAGTGGTAGGCACAAGGTACTGGGCAGGAAAAGAAGTGCAGCCCGCGGCATCCTTCAGGAGTCAGGGATGAGCAGATATCCCGCATCTCCTGCAGCCCCCAACCCCACTCGCAAAGCCACCCAGAGGAGCAGATGTTACCACAGAGACATCTCTGCTGTGGGAACGTTGTGTGACAGTCCATCCCCACGTTTGTCCTATAACTTGAGTTTACATCATCTCCCATCTTCCTCACCACTCTTCAGGAATAAGAAAGGGTTTTTCCTTCCCCTCAAAACTGAGGACTGAACCCAGCACCTCTGTACTGTGCTACACCCTCAGGCTGCCCACTTCTTTTTTTGAGATAGTATCTCACTGAGTGGCTAAATTACCCAAACTGGGTTCAGATGTGCAGACCTCCTGCCTCTACCTCCCAGAGTGCTGGGATTAGGATTTTCATTCTACCCTTTGAATCCCCAATGGCTGGCATTCATTAAATCCTCCAAAAGGCCTTGTAAGCTCTGCTTTATTTTCAAAGAGTGGATCCCCCATCGTATGTTTGCCATCTCTCACTTGTATCACTAGAATTGGCTGCTAGCTACAGTCCTCTCACCTCCAGTCTATAAAAAAGGATGAGCCAACCGTCACTATCACGGACCTGGTATGGCACATGCTGTACAGAACGGTGCCTACTACGGGACCCAAATCCATCTCTTGCTACCCCTACCCATCACTGCACATATCCTTGATACTTTAGCAATCAGAATTGCCTTCCATTTCCTAAACAGCAGATAATGCATTATTTTATTTTGTAGTACCGGGGATTCATTACTAAATGATTTATTTTTTTCTCTGAATTATAGTAATCTTCAAGAGACTTTGGTAATTGAAAAAATACAGATGAGTGTACAGTACTTCCCAGGTATACAGAAATACTGTTCCCATCTCAGGGAACACTGAACTACATTCTCAGTTACGTATTTATACATGTTTATTTCTTTAGATATAGACACTCGCTAAATTGTCTAGACTGGGCTCGAATTTGGAATCTTCCTTCTTTGGCCTCCCCAGGCATGGAATTACAAGCAGGTACCACTAAGCCCGGCTAAAAACAGAGCTGGAGGGCTGAAAACCACTTCCTCCGGTGCCGCTGCCTTGCCTTAATCCCAGACCAAACCCAAGACGTGCTGCAAAACCTCAGCTCTTAACTCCTGGCCCCATGAGGCAACAAGCAAGACGGGACAGAGTCTACTTACGAACTGGCTCTTGCGGCCTCTTCGAATTCCCAGCAGCATCCTTGACCAGGCTAAAAGGTGGATTTTTTAGTAGCTATCTCCAAAGCCTAGGACCGTTCCCTAAAGCCAGTTCTACTCCCACCACAGGAACTGCAGATGCTGTTTCTTCCCAAGTAACTTCACAACAACCACACCCATCACTGGCTGTGTTCTATTCTCAACCAATCAGAGCTAAGGTTACTTCCACACCCGTCGCTCTTGGCAACTAGCGGTTCTCATTCAAATCTCCACCAGTGCGGAAGTTTTCTGAGCTGTCTGCCTCCTTATTGGTCAGAGTAGATATCAATCACAGCCACCACAGCCTGTCCGACGCTGTGGGAGGTGGAGGACGGGAAGGATGAAAACCTGGCCAAGCGCAATGGAAGGGAACCCGGAAGTGGTGCGATCTCAGGTTAGGGTGTCGGATCCTCCGGACTGGGGCGGAGGCGTGGTCCCCTGCTGTTTCTGCTAGAATCTTGGGCTGGACCGATCAGCCAGGATGAGCCAGGGCGCGGAACCAGCTGGGTATCAGCGACCAGGCAGGTGCTGAAAATGAGAAACGCAGCCACCACGTCTCCTGGTTCTTAGACTGATAAATTGTCTTTCACCAACCGCTCTGTAGTTAGAATTTTGCCAAAGGGGGCTGGGCTTCTAGTTGAATGTGGGCTCACGTGGAGGAGAGCCTGTTCAAAAGTTGTCTTGCATTTCCCACATTAGATCGAGACCACCGATGGACAAGAACCCCCCTGACAGCACAGGCCCAGTGCACGTACCTTTTGGGCACATTGTGGCCAATGAAAAATGGCGTGGGTCACAGCTGGCGCTAGAAATGCAAGGTCAGTGGGTTGGGCTGATTTCCTTCCCCAAGCTCTTTTCTCACCATGCATTTACGTGAACTCATTTTGTTGTCTATTTTTTAAGGAAAAATTAAACTCGTTTTTGAAGACGGCCTGACAGTGGTAGATTTTTACCTGTCCAGCAGATCTTGCATTCTCTATATCACGGAAGCTGATTTAGTGGCGGGAAATGGCTACAGAAAGAGACTTGTTCGGGTTAGAAATGTAAGTACTGAACTAAAGAAACAAATCGAACAGTGATTTATATCCTTCCCACCCCTGTCCCTTGGAAAAATTTCAGTAATAGCGTTGGTCATTCCAAGCCAATGATGGAGACCACTGATAACATGATAGGCTTTCTTAATTTAGAAAGGAAAGTCGATACTAAATGATTTATGTTTTTCTTCAAAGTCCAGTAATCTTCAAGGGATTGTAGTAGTTGAAAAGACACAGATGAGTGAACAGTACTTCCCAGCCATACAGAAGTTTACTGTGCTGGACCTTGGGATGGTGTTGCTTCCAGTGGCCAACCAGACGGAAGCATCCTGCCTCATCATCCAGTTAGTAAGTATGGATTCCTCCTTCACAACAGCCCTGTCCGCACGCAGTGTCTTGGCTTACTTTGATGAGATTTTACTCTAGCTATGGTTGCAATTTATGTCATTCCCTGTGTTCGTTTACCAAACCTTTTCGAGAAATTTAAGTTCAGGGAGCCATCAGAGCCTGCCACTCACTCCAGGCAAGTGTGTAACAAGTGTACAAGTTGAAGATCTGATTTTAGACTCCCAGGCTAACTGCCATTCATCATCCCACAGTTATGCTGGTGAACTTTTTTTTTTCTTTTATTTAAAGAGAAACAAAAAAATACATGGAGATAAAAAAAGGGTAGAAATAATACAGAATTACATAAAAATAAATGTTAAGAAATCGCCAGTTGATAAGTTACATATTGTCATCTTAGAAATAGCTGTTCAGGTTACAAAATTAAAGTATGTAAAATGACATTCAAATAGACTGCCAACAGTTCTGCTCAATGATCTAACAAAAACTTAGTAATATGGTCATCAGTCCTACTCACTTGTTTTATATCTTAAAGAGGGTAAAATTAAACATAACAGAACAAAACAGATTTAAAAAAAACAATTTAAAGAAATACAGATTTCAAAGTAAGTCCACTGAAGATCTTCACTGTTTATCTAATTGTCTCTAGTTTCTTCCAAATAGTTGTCCCCATCTTCAGGCACATTAAATACATACTGCATATTATAGAACTAAGCAAATCATTACAGGATGATGAAGGCTTTTTAGGTCTTCAAGATCTGACATTGGGGAAGACAATAACTACCATCGCATCTCTCTTTCTCTTTGTAGTAGCTGTCCTTATCTTTACATATGCTGAAATTGAACTTAAGAGACTAGACTAATAATATCACTCTGATCAGTGAATAATAGTATTGCTAGATTTTATATCATAATGCTACAAAATTAGCATTGGGTTTCTTAGTGTCTCTTCTTCAGAGTATCTGTTCATTGCATCTTGCATTATATAATCTGTTCCCGTAAATAGTTTTTTTTTTTTTTAAATCTTCTCATGTGTGAATTTCTACATGTATATCTATCCTCTTTGTATTATAGGGAAAAACAAATCATAACAAGGCAGCAAAACAAATTCCTAGAAAAGCATGCAATGAAAAAGACACATAAGACCACAATAGTAGGTGATCTACTATAGTTACTTTCTCTTGTTATTTTCAGTAGACTTGTCCACATCATCGGGCTTAATATAGTTAAACATAGTATTACCTAGCTATTTTTATAAAAACACCACTTTGAAAACATTGTAGGACTTGAGAGCTGTTAATAATTAACACCAGTATGGATATCTTTTACATCTTGTCATCTTCAGAGTAGTTGCCTCTACTTTTAGGGTTGATACTATCAAACATACCAAATTCAAATAAAATCAGCCAGGGCAAAACTGTGGTCTTATGAATTGGATTCAAATAAGATCAGTCATAGTAAGACAATGTAAGTAATACAGGATTTCAGTTTAAGTTAATAGGAAATTAAGGATAGTTACCATGGTATAACCTATTTTTGGGTCAGATGTCTGTGCCCTCAAAACTGATATGAATGGATAGACCAGAACAAATTAAATTCAAACTAAACAGAGCGATAAGACTACTGTGTCTCTTAAATCCTGATACACTATTAACAATGACCTCTGCCTTTTTTTATAGTGTATCAAAGCTATCTATACTAAAGACTATAGCTTGCCATCTCTGCCTCATGTCTGCTACTCCACTTTACTGCTATAATTTGTCCACCTTACTCCCTCATTCCACTATCTGCCCTGTTCATTGAGGCCTCTCTGCCACTGTTGCTGGAATCCTGGTATCCCTTCCTCTCTTTCTCTGGAATGTCCTTCAGCACTCTCTGTAGGGTTGGATTGGTCGCCATGAACTCCCACAATTCCTCCTTGTCTTGGAAGCACCTTATTTCTCCATTAATTTTGAGAAAGAGTTTTGATGGGTATATGAGTCTTTGTTGCGTATTTTCTTTCAGGACTTGGAATATTTCTCCCCATTCCCTTCTTGATTTAAGAGTTTGTGTTGATAAGTCTGTTGTTATTTTGATAATTTTCCCGTTGTAGGTAATCTGCTTCTTTTCTCTGGCTGCTTTTAATATTCTGTTCTTTTGATGGATTTCTGGAATCTTGATTATATGTCTGGGTGTAGATCTGTTTTGGTTGTAGGTAGCTGGTGTTCTGTATGCCTCTTTTATCTGGATATCATTTCTTTTTGCTATACATGGGAAATTTTGCTTTAATGTATCTGTGAATATTCTTTGTATTTCATTTTTGGTTGCTCCTGCTTCCTCACTCACATGCTTTATTCTTAAGTTATGTATCCTTTTGTCATCTTCTAGCCTTTGAATTGTTTCTTTCTGGTTGTTATTTTTAAGAGGTCTTTTCTTTCACGATCATATATCATAAATCTCTTCAAGTTTCAAAAAGCTAACTTTAGTTTCTGTCAAGGCATTTTGCCAGTGTTCAAGGGAGTTTTTAGTTTCCTGGTAATCTCTTTGGATCTCTTTCATGTATTCTAAGTTATGTTTAAATTCTTCTTCAGAAGTTTCTCTTTCTTTTCTGATTTCCTCAGTTCTTCCATCTGTGTTCTCTTGGGCGGGGCTTGTCATTTCTTTAATTAATCTCTTTATATCTTGCCTCACTTGGATCAGGAGTACAGCTTTAAATTCACCTATGAGTTCACGGAGGTATTTTTTTTTTATTTCGGCTGATGCTGTGTCCAGTATTGGATGGTTACTGTGCTGGTTCTCTTCAGTGTTAACTTCCCCTGGGCTTATTTTCTCACGTTGGGCAGCTGGAGATTTTTTTTTATTTCTATCTCTTGTCATGTTTCTGGTTTCTTTCCGACTGGAGTGTCCTGGGGGTCTCTGGCCCTCTCCATATTGCTTAGGGCCTTTCAGAAGTGTGTTGACTTGAGTTTTTGCTGTCCTCCCCAATTTGCTGGGGTAGGCAGGGATGCAGGGACGTGCAGGCTAGCCTCCAGCCTCTGTGCCAGTCAACCTGCAAACTAGGCTGTACTTTGTGGATGTCACAGAGTCACGACTATTTTGTCCCAAGAGTCTGCTTATTGGGTCCCAACCAGAGGCTTGGCTCAGCCTCAGCAGATTCTGGCAGTTCTGTGCCAGAAGCAGCTGACTAATGTCACTGTGGCACAGGGCTCTGCCCAAATCCCAGCTATCCTCTTCCAGACCTCTCTGTGCCAGGAGCGACTATCTAATGTAGGTCTGCCCAATTCCAAAATGTCCTCCACTAGTTCTATGTTGCTGACGCTGTCACGGCACTGGGCTCTGCCCAATTTCAAGATGTCCTCCACCAGCCCTCTCTATATCAGGGGCGACTGTCTGATGTCACTGAGCCGCGGGCTCTGCCCAAGTCCAAGATGTCCTTCATCAAACTCTCTGTGTTACTGATGTCGCCGTGGTGGCGCGCTCTGCCCAATTCCAAGATGTCCTCCAGCCAGCCACAGCAGCCATGGGACCCAGTCCCAGGTACTCACCAGGACTCAGTGCAGATCTTCCTCTTGAGTCTACTGCTCACTATGCCACTTGCCTTCACTGTGTTCCCAACACAGTGCGGAACGGTCAGAAAACTGCACGGTGTTTGGCTTCTGAGCTCCAGAGCTTCTCACAATCTCCTCTGGCACAGCCAAGCAGCCCTGGCTGCTTCATGGGGTCCCGGGTCTCAATTTCCAACAGTTGCCAAAAGCCAAGACAGCTTTTCCTCTTGGATCCACTAGTCAGTGTGCCACATTAAAGGTGCGGGTTTGCAGACTCCTGTTATCAGCCATCACAGTCTCAGCACGACCTTAAATCCTCCAGCCACGCTGTCTTGGTTAATAAGATTCACTATCCATTCATCTGGCCCTCTCCATGTTGTTGTATTCTAGCATCTAATATGATTTCTCCTGAGAGACTCTCCACCCAATCCCCTAGCAAGCCACCATTTTTGAAACCCATCTTGCTGGTGAACTTTTAAAGTGACAGGGCTGGTAGTGCAGCTCAGTGGTAAAGCTCTTGTCTAGCACCTATGAAACTTTGGGGTTGATCCCTAGCAACACATATACCCACATACATGTGTGTGCATGCACACACACATGCAAAGATGCATGAGGGTTGCCTCTGACCAACTGAAAATCAGAACATAAGAGTAAGGCCTGGGCATCCATTGTTGTTTTTAATTCCCCTCTCTGATGTGCATCTTGGGTTGAGAATCAAATTGGAAATACAGGCCAGACGTGGTGGCTCACATCTGTAATCCCAGCACTCGGGAGGCTGAGGCAGGAGGATCGTTGCAAGTTCGAGACCAGTCTGGGATACAAAGTGAGCTCAAGGCCAGCCTGAACTGCATAGTAAGACTCTGTCTCAAAAAAGACAAAAAAAAAAAAAAAATTGGAAATACAAGCAGCTCTGTGAAGTTTAGATTCCTCTCTACTGCATCCTTTGCTTTGTTATTCCTAACTTATGAGATAATGCTACTGTCTGCCTTCATATAATACCAGACTGGAGTGAGTTTCTCCTTTGATAGGCAAGCTTCCCACAGGTCTTGTAGGAAGCAGGTCTCATTTAGATACTGGGTGTGAATGTTTAAATTGAAAAACTTAAGATATATTGCTACAGTGAGATCTTAAGGGGGATAAAGATACAGTGTTCTCAAACCCTCAAAATATTCCACCTGGCTTCAAACATGAACTATTCCATCATTTTTGCCACTTTCTGAATTATTTCTAGAAGCTGTCTTTTGTGAGTGTATTTTTATGGCTGTCTTGGTATCTTGAATTATTTTAAAACATTTATGGTAATTTCTGTACAAAAACATATTGAGGTGAATTGTCCACCTTATTCACTGGATCTGGAGTTGTATGACTTCTGGCTCATCCTCAAATTCAAAATGACCATGAAAGATTAACATTTTGAATTGATTCAGGACACAGCCAGCCATGACAGTCCAAACAGGTACTCTCAAAGAGGACTAAAGAACTGCTTTGAAAGTGGGAAGAACAATGGGCTGTGTTTGAAACAGGAGGAAGTATTTTGTGGGGGTATTAAAGGCAACTTTAATAATTTTTAAACATCCAGTTATTTTACTGATGTCTAAAGATTTATACTCACGGCACCTGAAAACATTTGATACCTAACCCACAAGGCAAGCCCAAATGAACAAACTCAAATTTTAAGAAAGCTGCCAGTCCTCCAGGGGGCGCTTATGTGCTTTTTCCTTTCATTTCCCGTTCAGGTCCAAGAGCAAACCAAAGAGCCCAGGAAGAACCCTTTCCTCAGGAAGAAAAGGGCTGTGCTCTCTGAGCCATTTCTTCTACGAACTGTGCAGCAGATCCCAGGAGTTGGGAAAGTTAAAGCTCCTCTTCTGCTCCAGAAGTTTCCAAGTATCCAGCAACTGAGTAACGCTTCCATCCAAGAACTTGAGTCGGTAGTTGGACAGGTAGTAGCACAGCAAATCCATGCCTTCTTCACCCAGTCCAGATGACTGCTGGCCTCATGTCTATGTTTTCTCTTAAACCACCAACTACAAGATCTGGTTTTCATATGTAAAAAGCAAGAAAAAGTTTCTTTGCACAGTATCTTGTGAAACACAAGGAGAAGCCTAATGGAGACTGAAGTACACTGCTTTGCTCTCTCGGTTTGATGAGACTTTCGTTCTAAGCAACAATCTACTTAAGCCAAGATTTTTGCAGGTGACCTTGACCTTCATCTGCCATGAGAAGGTTCTGTAAAGTTCAGGGGCAGGATGTCACCATCTAAAGGAAATGGCCTACAGTGAAGCACTGTGTACTATGGCCCTTGGTCCTGGTGGCAAACTGCTGCTCTTCAGGTCTGGTCTGCATATGCTGTGCTCTGAGGGCACAGCTGCCAAAGTAAACAAACACATGTATAACAGTCCCTTCCTTTGTGCTTTCATTCCTGCCTTCCTGTTTTTTTGGAGGGAAGTGACAGCCACATAGTCTGCTTGTAACTACTGGGCGTGTCTTCTGAACACAGAAAGCCTAAGATTTGAAATTCCCCATGTAAAGACGAAATCAGTGCATGACAAAGATGTCTGTGTATGTGTGGATCAATAAAAGATACACCAGAAAACAGAGGGTGCTACATCCCGTGAGGGGAGCCTGGGGCTGGGGATTAAAGGGGTTAACTGCCCAATGAAAAAATACACACACTAAAAATGAGGGGAAGAAGGCTGAAAGGAGGAAGGCGGGGTGGGGGAAAAAGAATCCAGATACAACATGGGTACAGATACAAATTCCCTACAGTGAACACAATCATGTATAAGTAAAGTATACCAATAAACTTAATTTACAAAAACAAAACTATAAGGAAAAATATATTAAAAATGCCACATTTTTAAAAATATTTCAAGAGCTCATTTATTTTAATGCTTAAAAATCAAAAACATTTGTACATTAGGATACTTACTTGAAAGATGGAATTACAGTGACAGAAAGGCAAAAAAAAGTCAGATAAATGTGTTTATTTAAATATTTATATAAACATGGTCCTATAAACAGTGGATAGATACTTTCCCAAAGGTGGTTGCTTCCCTTAAGATATTGCACAGTATAAAATTCTTGTTAATTCTCAAAATTAGATCTCCAAGCTGTATTTTTAAGCTATGTCACTTTTACTATGTCAACCATGAATCTTATTAGAGCCACGGTGTCATCCAACTTACAGCCAAGGAAATCAAACTGGTAAGAATATTCATTTTAAAAAGTCAAACAGAGCTTTGAACTTGAATCATTTACATCTTCATGTATAAAATGTAAAGCTACCTTTTTACTAAAGATTCTTAAAATATAGTTAGTGTACATTCTACTTTAAGCAAAATGAAAATGTTTTGAGTATCAAACAGTATTTCATCTACCCTGTAGACAGCATTTCCATCTAACACTGCCACGGTGTTAGGACTTGTACATGGCATCACACTGGAGGAAAAGCTGCTCCTAAATTTTATTTTTTGGTAGTATTTTTGGTTTTTTTAGCACTGCCAAAAAGGTTTTTTTAAAAATAGTAATTCAAGAGAAATTTGGCACTAGACTTTTGGAAACGGCATTCATATTATGTAGAAATAATGGCAAAATTTTACTTTAAATTGATGAATCTCATGAGGAAGCAGCTCTTTAGAACAGTTTTTAGGAACACAAATCACACTCTATCATTATGCTCCTCTGACCTGCCTTGAATTCTAGGTTAAGGAAAGATTATTACCTAAACCTGGACAGTTAACAAACAATACTAATGTATTAACCACAGCTGAACTCTTGAGAGTACTTAAAAGTGGTCACTGTAACCATTAAAAACAGACATACTTTCAACACTACTCTGTACAGTATTTTATAGAATAAATAACTTGCAGCAATATCGTGACACTCCTCAAGTGTTTCCCACCAACTTCAAGATGCTTCTTGGTACTTTCATAAAGCATATGATACACAAGTGAACAAATGGGATTTGAAAATACTCCACAATATGGCACAAATATTAAGACCCAGTGAATCCCAGGTGGCCGTTTCGGCTTCCTCCAGTCAGTAGAGAGAGCTTTCAGAGCTGAGCACGCTGAAAGGAGCGTGGAGCTTCCTCTTGACGTGAGGCCTCGACACGCCCACCGCTGGGAGGCACATGGTGCTGGCTGATTTCCGGCGGTTCTTATTGGTGCCCCAACTCAAAAACGAAAGCTTTTTAGATATTTTCTTGGTTTTATCAGTTTTATCATCATCATCTATAGCTAAGCAAATCATGGAGTAAGTTTTCTGCATTCCCACCGAGTACGTGGCACATTTATTATGCTGCATAGAGAAAAAAAAAGTTAGGTATCTTCAAGTTGCCCAAGTGATTATAAAGCTTGAGACTCACATTCTGTATCTATAGCATCTTCTTAATTAAAAGGATATTCTAACTCCCAGGTGACCAATACTTATACAGAATTAGGCTTTTAAAAGCAAGGACTGTTTTTTGTTTTTTGTAACCACTAACCTGCTCTCTAACTCCATTCTGGACATTTTATCAATTGAACTTTCTAATCCATCACCAGCCCTCCCCAACCTGACTCCTGTCATCTCTCCACAAAAACTGTCAGTTTGTTGTGCTGCCAAATGCAATAGATATGACTCAGACTCCCCCAGTCACCTCTTAATACAACTGGTCACTTCCTGCTGCAAGATTTTTTTTTTTTTCCTTCTCTGCTATTGGGGACTTAACCCAAGGCTTTCACATGAAGCCACATCTCTAGCCTCGCCCACCTCCCTTTTTTAATTGTGAAATGGGGCTCACCAAGCCGCTAAGTTTGCCCAGGCTTGGCTGGAACTTGTGACCTTCTTGCCTCAGCCTCCCAGAGTTGCTCGGATTACACACACCACCACCACCATCCCACCTAGCTTATTTTTTGGACTTCAGAAGCTCCTTCTAATCTCTCTCCCTGAACCCTCCACTTCTTGGTTTCTGTGTTCCTGCTTCTCTTCTAACTGACCTCTAACCGCTGGGGTGTCTCAGGGTTTGGGGTTCACACCCTCAGGTGATCTCATCTGACCTCACAGCTGTAAATACCATCCCTATGTTGATGACTATCTAATATTTATTTCTAGCTCTGACTTCTCCACCTGCCTACCTGTCATACCTGATGACCAACAGCACCTGAAACACCCATCCAAAGCCTGTCTCCTGCTTTCTGTCTCCTCCACGCATCCCTGATTCCCCACTGTCATGAAAAACCCCTGCCCAGGGAGTTAAAGCAAGAAACCAAGGCATCCCCTTCCCGCCCTCCATGTATACTAAAAGCACCCATGCATCCCCCTCCAAACTACATCTCAGGTACATTCTCTTCTCTCCCCACCACTGCCACCCCAATACTGAGCCATGACATTGCTGGCTGGGACAGCTGCCCTGGCAGGGCTCCTGCAGCAGACACCTTGCAAAGTAAACAGTGCACGGCACTGAACCGTCACCCTCCTGAGGGCCAGTGCCTTCCACACCTGCCCTTCCTGCTCACTCCTTGCAATCTCTCTGGTCACTGAAAGGCCTTCGGGTTCTGGCAGGAGCAGCTCCTCCTGGCAGCTGGGGCTCTGTGCCTGGTCCACCCCAGCACACTCTTCCCCTCCAGGGCTTGCCCTTGTGTAATTCAGGTTGGTTCCAGCCCTGTCTAGGAGCCTCTCGCCAGCCTAGACCTTTGACCACATTCGTGTTTTCCTTTCCTGCAGCACTTAGTTAAATCACAACGGTGTACTTGCTTGTGACATGCCAGCTTCCCGGGGACAGGGATCTTCTGCCTCCCTGGAGCTGAAGCTCTACTCCTATCAGTGCCTGGCACTGCTGCTGTGGGGGGATGTGGTTTCCCCCAAAAACTCATATGCTGGAAGCGGGGTGCCGTGTGGCACTGCTGCAAGGGAGACCTTTAAGAGTGGAGCCCAGCAGTGGCCCGTGGGTCAGCTGGGCTTCCCTCAGAAGATGGACTCGGGGGCTCTGGCTTACTGTTTCAGGGTTTTCTTCGGTACTGGGGACTGAGGTCGGAACCTTCCCACTGAGCTACATCCCTACTCCTTTTATTTTTCTGACAGGGTTTCTCTAAGTTGCCCGGGCGAGGCTCAAAGCTGTGGTCCTCTGGCTCAGCCTCCCAGAATGCTGGAACCTCCTATTTTGGAATGTGATCTCTCCCTTCTGCATGTGCTCCCACCTTACTTGCATCCACCATTAGGCCTTCACCAGAGGCCAAGTCAGCGGAGCTGCCCGATCCTGGACTTTCAGCCTCCAAAACTGTGAGCTAAGTAAGCTCTTTTCTCTTTTTATTGTTTTGGAGGGGAGGTATTTGAGACAGGATCTCATTATATAGCCCCACTGGCCTCAAACTCACAGCAATTCCCCTACCTCACCCTCCCAAGTGCTGGTACTACAGGTATGCACCACAACACCTGGCTTGGCCTCCATTTTCATAAGCAGCCTCCTTCAAGTCACAAACAAAAGCACTAACAAAGACATACTGACAATCAGCATTTGCTGAATAAAAGAATGCTGGTATCGAGGGCCAGTTAAAGTGCACTGCTCAGTGCAGCAAAGTTTAGGAGAACCTCAGACATGATTCTTTCCAATGGAAAAGTCAAAGGATCTAACTGTGCACATGGACTTGGAAAAGCATCAAATAATTCCCAAGGTCTCCCAGGAAATGGTTAATGTTCCCTCTGTGGTAGGGAGCGGACTTCTGCTTGCTGTCTTAACCCTGTCTATAGCATTTGAACATTTTTTAACATGTGTGTTACATCTGTAATTAAAGACAACTTAATCAGAAAAATAAGTCCACTGAGTATTTTATCTATAGGATTAAAATTCTGGAAGTTTCCACGTGATCCCTCTGCCTCGAGTGAGCACATCTCAGGGCGGACTCTCAAGCTGTGTGTGCCATGTTGTGCAGGTGGAAGGCAGGAGGCTGGGAAAGGCCTCCGGGTGAGCACACTGCGATCCCACCCCACCTGCCCACTGACGGCCTCTGCACTCACCATGGACGACGTGGAATCCAGGGGGCTCACAACCTTCATCTCTATCTCCTCCCCACCGAAGCTCTTCAGCAGCTTCATAACTTCACTCACTGTGAGCCACTTACAATCCACGCCTCGAATGGAAACAATATAATCTCCTTCCTTGGCCCCTGCCAGCTAGGAAAATATTGATTAAATAAAGATCAGAACTTTGCACATTTACTTCCCCGAGCCAGTTCCCAGTAGATGTGTAAGTTTGCTACAAGACAAGGAAAACATTCATTCTTTCCTCTTTGGGCACGGAGCACCCAGAAGGCCTCTGACATCAAAAGTCAGGCCTTTGACACAGGCAGACCCTAAACTCCATCCCTCAGGTAGGCGTCCGGGCCGCTCACTTTGTGTTCCCCCAGCTGGAGAGAAGCAGGCTTACCGCAGCAGAACAGGAGGGAGCCAGAAAGTGGACCTGAACAGGGGTGTTGCCTCGCAGGGTGAACCCCAGGTCCCCTTCCTCTACGGTGAAGTGAACGCTTCGGGGAGGTGTCCACCTCTTGTTAGCCGAAAACACTGACAGGGGGCCCTTTGGAAGAGAGCAGAATTAGGTTGAGGGTTTGAAGGCTAAGTCAGACTATTTTTGAAACAAGTCACACTAGATTATGTTATGCAGGCTGATTTCAAAGTAGTGAGCTCAAGGGAACCTCCTGCCTCAGCATCCTGAATAGCTGGAACTGCAGGTACCCTGCACGGTTCTGGACTAGACACATGGAAGCTAAAGGGGACCTGTCCTGAAGACCTCCTTTGGCCTTGTTGAGGCTACAGATACCACCTAGAGCCACAGGTGCCACCACAGTCACATACGAATACCAACTGCGATTTTCTCAAGCATACCCAGTATATTTAAAATAATACTATCTTATAGAAATTATCTTAATTATCTTAAGCCAGGTTCGGTGGTACAAGTCTCATCCTTGCACTCAAGAGGTTGAGCCAGGAGCATTTCGAGTTCAAGGTCAGCCAGAGATACACAGTGAGCTGCTGGCTCAAAAACAACAAACAAAACAAAACCTTAAGTAAAACCTTTAACATAAAAAATACAAAATATCTAAATACAGAGCTTATAAAATACACTGTGGTCTGAACGTTTTCGTCTCTCTCCAATTCGGCACTGACATTAATGTGAGCACTGGGATTGGGCCTTCTGTGGGGAGCAGGTTATGAAGCGGGTGACCCTCATTAATGGGATTCATGCTCAGATAAGGGGGCACAGTGGAGCCACTGGTCTCTTCCCCAGGAGGACGCCGTAGGAAGGCACCACCTGTGAACCACAAAGTGGGCCCTGGAGCCTCTCAGCTGGCAGAACTGAGAGACTGAAATTTCTGTTATGTAAAAGTCACTCATTTGTGGTACTCTGTTATAGCAGCCTGGACAGACTAAGCCAGAATACTCAGAAAACAGAAATTAATGAAATAGGTATTCAACCTACCAGCTTCTGGAAGAAGTCTGTGACTGTCACTTTGGAGAACTGGGGCAGTATCATTTCAGCCTCTTGTTCAGTTTTTGCTAGAGAAGATTAAAAATGAAGACATAAATGTTTCTGTAACGGAAAGTGATCCTTTAAAATGCAGGCCTCCAGCCTCCTCTCCACGTAGAGAACAAAGTGACGCTTCCTGCCGGCTGGGACAGTGGCACAGAAGATGGGTCCTGCTCAGCCCTGGCCGGGGTCGCCGCCTTCCACTGGGGCACCACCTATGAGCCACACCCTGTTAGGGGCTGGGACAGAGAAGTGACAGCCAGACACAGTCCTCTCCTCCACGGAGCCTACTGCTCTCCCGGTCGACTTCACTGTCACTCTACTGAGAAGTGACCTGTCTCAGATACAGCTCAGTACACAGCCTGGACATAAGGGGCTTCCCACTTTCCTATGAACACGTGATGCGAGCATTTCGCAGCGAGTAGCCAGGCAGTCCATCCACAGTGCCCATCTTCACCAGCACCTTCATGGCAGGCTTGGGCCCACTTGTGGCACAAGGCTGGTCCATTTCAAACAAAGGATCCCACAACAGGCTAATTACTCACAAACAGCGTGAAAAGATGACCTAAGGAGGCAGGCATCGCCAAGGCAGATCACACACTCTGTCCACAGGGGCCCAGAGCTCTACAAACCCTCAGCCTAGTGCCGCGTTCATGCTTCCCACTGCTACCACGGTGGCTTCCACTGGGGGTGCAGCTGGGTGGGCGAGGCCTGGCCTCACAGAGCAGCACTGGGGCGGATCCCAGGGAGCGGGGAGTCCTGGAACATAGGCCCTCAGACTGGGGTTCGTGACACCACCACTGGGCAAACAGGGTGAACCGAACCGGGCTAGAGAGCACCCGCCGGTGTCAGCTGCGGGAACTGCTCCCTGCCTGGTGTCACCCCTCGCCTGGTGTCGGGAGTGATCTGTCCTGTGAGTGTGCAGGGGAGAAAAGTAGCCTGCGTTGGCCTTTCCTGTGTATTCTGAGAGGTAATGGACAAAGGGATCCCAATCCTTGCCCTCCCTCACCGCTCGAAGGAGGCCCTCAGACTTGAGCCCTCGAAAATAGAAGACAGCAACAACTGCCTAGTCTGCGTCCCTGAACACCAGCGTGCCCAGACCCTAGAGACGCCGAGATGGTAGTGAGGACAGAAGATGGAGCAGGCCCAGGGAGGCCCCCTAGGGCGCAGGAAGGAGAAGACAGCAGAGCATGGTTTCCTAGAAAGCAGCTACAATATGAGTGGCGTGGAGCCTCGGAGGGTGTCAGGGAGAAGGACCAGTTCCCAGGGTGTCCTGGTGACAGCGACGGCTGAGCCCCATCTCAGGTCCTCCTGAGAAAGGGCACTAGAGAAGGCAAACCGGGGGGAACAGATGGCAGAAAAGGCCAGGGTGGGTGGACCGGACAGAAGTGCAGTCATCTGAGCAAGGTACCAGGCACCTGACACTCAGGGAAGAGTGGCGAGGGGCAGGAGAGGAGCAGGAGCCCGGATGTGAGGGTCTGGAGACGGAAAGGCCAGAGCGAGGGAGGCCGGCAGGATGAGCAAGCACAGGGCGGACAGCAGGGCCCCGCCTCCCCCGAGGAGCCCTCTCTGCACGCGCAGGGTCTGGTCCTGCCACTCACAGACAATATTGGGCGCGTCTGTCAAGTTCAGGAGATCGTCGTCCTCCTGGTGCTGAGTGTACTTGAGCCTTGTGCGCTGGTGCGCAGCTGACAGCACCTCCTGGAGAACCTGGATGTCACGCAGCTTCTTGCACAGGCTGGCCTCTCTCGTCGCCTCCTCGTGGTGGGTGAGGGCTTTGTACAAGTGGCACTTCCCTGTGGGAAGAAGACCATCCCATGTGGCACGTGACTGCGTGGAGCACCACGGGCCCGAGGAGCAACCCAAGAAGGCGGGCACTTCCCTTTGCAAAGGATCTGCTGGGACAGCCAAGGGTGCTGTGACAGACATGCTCAATTGTGCCTATTAAACACTCACTCAAGGACCGAGGATATAGCTTAGCAGCACAGAGCCTGCCAGCAAGTGCAAGGTCCTGAGTTCGAGTTCCAGTACCGCTCCAAGGTGGGGGTACAAACATGCATTCAACAAACATTCATAGGCTGTCAAAGGTATGACAGTTAAGTCATGACCAAAAGGCTGCTCCCAAATTCATAGAGTTACATATTATTGGATGAAGACAGATAATTAACAGGCAAAGAAATACATAGTGGAACATGTGATATCAAGGTTCTACAGAAAAAATAAAGCAGAGTAGGCAGTTGTGAGAAAGACTAGAAATAGAAGTTATTCTTTGATGGTGGACCAGGGAGAGTTTTTTAATAAAGTAACTTCTTTGAATACATATTTTTAATTTTTTATTCACTTTTTTTGTTCTTTGGTTTTGATGTGGTACAGTAACTTTTGAGCAGAATTCTGAAGGAAATGAAAGAAGAGGCATGAAGATATCTAACGGAAGAGCATATCTGAAATAGGATACAGCACATGCAAAGGTCCTGGGGCAGAAGCATGCATAGGTTTTCAAGGCCACCAGGAACTAGGGGTAGGTATGACAGGAAGGAGAGAATGATAAGGAATGACATCAGGGAGAAAAAGGGGCCAGTTCATGCCTGATTTTACAATTAGGATAAAGACTTGCTCACTCCTAACCCTGGGCCCCTCAGGGTATGAGCCGTAGACTGAAAGGAACACACAGTGGACAAGCAGAGAGAAGCAGGGAGACCAGCTACGAGTAGGGCAGACTGAATGACTGCTCCAGGCCTCGAGCCTGTTTCCTCCACGGTAAAATGGGGATCCCTGAGACCTGTCTCAAAGGGTTGTGTGGAGGTAGGTTTGTCAAGCAGACACTGCATGTGTGGCTCTGACCTCGTGGAAGAGTAAGCAGGGATGGGGTTTAGGGTTATGTTTCCTAGGTAGAACCCACGGAGTTTGCTGATCAAATGTGGGGGCGGGGGAGTGGGGGACAGACAGGGTGCAGAGTGAGTCCAAAGCAGGGGGAGGTGGGGGTGGGCAATGGAGCAATCAATCCAGAGGTGGGGGTGGGGTGGGTGCTGGAGGGAGTCAGGATGCAGTGGCACAGGACCCACAAGGCAAGCCATCACCGCCGAAGAAAATCAACACTATGTCCTTCTGCAGTAGGATGGCAGAGGGCCACCCATGGGCCACCTCAGGGTACGAGCTGGTCACAGCTCTGCCTCCACACTGAGCAGCCTGGACACCTCTGAGACAGCACCTCCTGCATGATGCTGTGGGACACCTGCTCCCCCAAGCCCTCCCCTCGAGACCAGTCGTGCCAGGCAGCAGCAGGGCACAGGTTCAGGCGAGGGCCGGGACTCACCTAGCTGCTGGCGCTGCTGATCATTCTTCAGTGTGGCCAGGGGCGTCAGCCCCTCCGGCATGTGGTCATAGAGCTGGGACAGGCACTTCTCCTGGTGGTCCTCGTCTGCACCTCGCTTCACTGCAAGGAGAGCCACAGTCAGACCCCCAGAGATGGAGCTGCCTCACCAGGCTCCTTCCTTCTGGGGTTCCACCGGGCATCTGGGGTGATGGATTAGGCAATCCAGGCCCGGCCTTTGATCACTGAGGCCAGCCACAGGCCAGGGGCTCCGGATTTGGTCCTGAGCCCCCACACACGACCTCCTCTAAGTTACACTCCGATGGGACTCCTAGCACAGCCCTGGGCCTGCTGCTACCAGGCCTGCGGACCTCTTGTGGCCTCCATGTTGAGGATGAGGTGTTACCCCTACTTCACCCCACCTCCTGGAGCGCACCTTCTCACTTGCCCCACACCACCAGCTCCACGCCCTAGGCCTCCTCCTCTGTGCTCAGGCACTGCCATCCTCCATGTTCAGCTATAAAAGCCTAAATCACACACCTGTCATCGCAGCCCTCTAGGAGGCTCAGGCAGGAGGACTGCAAGTCCAAGTCCAACCTGGACAATTTAGAAAGTGAGGCCCTGTCTCAAAGTTTAAATAAAGGCTGGGGGAAAGGGGGAGGAAAGAAGGAGGGAGGGAGGCAGGGTTGGGGGAGGGGACAGAGAGAGGGAGGGGGACAGACAGACAGGACTGGTTGGCTGGCTGGGGATGTATCTCAGTGCAAAGACCCTAGGTTTAATCCTCCATATCTCAAAAGAAGAAAAAGAGGAAAAGCCAAATTGAACTGTCATCACCTCCAAGAGGCCATCTAGGACTGCAGGAACCACTGCCTCAGTTGTGCCGGGACAGCACCCACTGGCCACTGCACTCCCCTCAGTTCACCTGTCTCGCCTTACACCATGGACTATGCAACGCAAGTACCAGCAGCGAACACCTCCACAGTCTCCACCACACCAGACTCGATGCAGCTTTGCAGCTCTGGGAGGAGGGCTCTCTTCCTGTCTCCACTTTACAGATGAGACAACTGGCTCAGAGCAGCGAGGCAACCTGTCTGAGCTCACCCAGCTAGACAGTGGTGCAGGTGAGTTACAACCCTGCACAGACGGCCTTCAGAGGCAGTCGGTTCAGCTGCTCTGGGGGTTAACCTGACTAGCACTAAATACAGCAAAAATCCCTCTTACAGCCCAGGGGAACAGCACTTGTGTAGCATGCACGAGGCCCTGCATTCAAGCCCCATCAAAACCAAAACCAACATAAATCCAAACTTCCTGTCATATAGCACACATATTTCTGACAATTAAAATAAATGGAAATAAAGTGGGAAAAAATCTCACTTGACCACTTGATCAGAGTCAGCCCTTAGACTGAGGAAAATGAGGTACTTATCTCAGAATCAAAATTTAAAAGGATAATATGAATTCAATAAACAATATACCTAATATTTCAATACAATTTTTTCAATGTCAAAATTAATCCATGGAGATTTTTTTTTTTTTTTTTTGCCACAGGCTCTAACAGAGGTCTGCACAGATCTGTTTATAGTGATCCCTGTGTTTATTTAAAAATGTAGTAACAAATTTTTTGCATTAATTTGACTTACTTAAAATACAACCTTCAGGCTGGTGATGTAGCTCAGTGGTAGAGCACTCTCCTTGCATGCTATAAGCCCTAGGTTACATCCCCAGAACCGCTAAAAAATAAAAATAAAGGGCCAGGGATTTAGCTCAGTGGTGCAAGCACTTGCCTATTAAGCACAAAGTGCTCCCACCTGCAACAGAAGGGACCACTGGAAAGATCGTGAGTTCAATCCCCGGTACCAAAAAACAAAATAAAAATAAATAAAAAGTAAAAAGTAAACTACTACTTTAAAAAGTCGCTTATCTTGAGTACTGAGATTTGTTACCCCTTAGAGTCTAGATTCCAAGTGAAAATGCATTTGCTGGATCCCAGAAAGGATTAAACTCCCCCGCAAGAGCCTATAACTCATTCTGCCTGGTTCCAGTGACAGCTGCCTGGTCAACGTGTCCTCCACATCCCTGCCTTCAGGCTGTGAGCACCTCCAGGGCAGAAAGGCAGCTCCCACTGACCTCAGGATCCCCAAAGCCTGACCAACGCCCCACTACCTCCCCTGAGCCCTAAGCCTTACGCTGGTGGTCGATGAGGAGGGTGGCGGTGAAGTAGTGGGCCAGGGCCGTGTAGTGGTGGGCCTTCACACAGGCCAGGCTGGCCCAGGAGTAGGGGATGTTCTCTTTCACGGGTGCCTGGCTTGTGGCCACGTGCAGCTGCCTGTAGACCTCTCCCACCTGCAACAGAAGGGACATGGAAAGAGTGAGCCACCCACAGCAGCTGCAGAAACAGAGCCCCTTCTTCCAGGCAGCAGCCCCTGCCCCTTCGGAATCTGGGCACCATGCCAAGCAACTCCTCACACTGCCAGCACCAGAGTTAACTGGGTGATCAGGCACCTGCCATTATGCTGGTTTTTAGGCTAAGCTGCAGATGGGATCAATGATCCGTAGCTGAAACACTGATACTTGCCAAAAAGATGTGAGCCAGCAGCTTCAGCTAGGGTGGGCACAACGCCCAGGTGACAGGCAAGCTGCCACCGTGGGAACCCCCCTCTGCTCCCAGAATACCAACGCCCACGTAACCTGCCCCTTCCTAAAAGTCACAGGACTTAGGAAGCCTTACCTTGGCAGCCTCCTGCGCCACCTTCACCAGCATGAAGAACTCATTCCGGATCCCAGGGAGGCTGATTTTCTCAAACAGACTTTCTTGGGCCTGAGCAAGCATCATTCGGACCAGCACGCTAAGCATGGCAGGACTCATGTCGTAACTCGGAGTATGAGTGAATGTCTCTTTCAGGTAATTTAAAACCCCTACAATTACAAGTGTTTTGTTCATTAGTTGAGGATCACATGTATTTCACCAGGCTGCTATAGAGAATGACAGAGGTCCTACAAAGCTGGGGCTGGGCTGTGGCTCAGCAGTAGAGCCCTTGCCTAGTATGCATATGGCCCTGGGTTTGAGCTCCAACACTGCGAAACAAAATGGTATGTATGTATGCGTATGATGTCCTACAGCATCTTCAAAAAATGTGATTCTGAATACTCTATTATCCAGGAATTCCAACTCTACACATATACCCGAAGAAGTGAAAGCAGGCACTTAACTGAAACTTGCACACTTGTTAATAACAGTGTTACTCATAAGAGGCAAGGTAGAAGCAATCGAATGCCTGCCGATGGATGAGTACACAAGCATAGTGCACACACATGCAACGGAGCATGGTGCAGTCTTAGAAAGGAGTAAGGGACTAGCGGTGTAGTCCAGTGGTGACCCTGCACATGCTCAGCATGCACACGGCACCTAGGTTTCATCCCCTGCACCACTAAAAGAAAAATATTAAAAAGGAATGAAATGCTGACACATGCTGCAACAAGAATGGAGACATCCTGGTCACAAAAGGATAAATACTGTATGATTCTATTTGGTGAGGTACTTGGAACAGCCGAATTCACAGGGACAGAGTAGAACAAAGGTTACCAGGAGCTGGGGAAGGAGAGAGGACGCTGTTGTCTAAGGGCAGTGTTCCAATGCAAACAATGACAGTATTCTCTGCAGGTGGGCAGTGATGCTAAGGGTACTTAATGCCACTGAATCCTACGGCTAAAAACGGCTAAAACTATGGGACAATGTGGCACATGCCCAAGACTCCACCACACTAGGCAGATGAGGCAGGAAGACTGCAAGTTCAAGCCTAACCTGGATAACCTAGCAATTTTAAAAATTTAAAAAAATTAAAAAGGGCTGAGAATACCGCTCAGTGCAAAGGCCCTGAGTATAACCTCCAGCACCACAAAAGAATGAATGGTAATTTTATCTTTCATATATTTTGCCACAATAAAGTTTAAAACTATAAAATTTTATGATATACATTTTATCATAATTTTTAAAACATGGATTTCTACTAAAACATGTACATCTACAGCAACCAAGGAAAGCAGCTGGCTCCTCTCTGCTCCTGTCTCACCTGGGACAGATGTGAGAAATTCCCCAAGACCAGGTAAGTGATGAAGGTGAAAACCAAAAACAGGCAGAATGAGTGAGGGGAACTGAGGGACACTTGGGTCACTCAGAGACATGGCTTCCCCCAGGCCCTCAGGAAAGAACAGTCTGATCCACTCCATGGACAAGTTCATGTCGCAGCCCCCAGCTGACTTCCCCATACTTTAGACAATTAACTGTCCAGAGCACTGACTGACAATCAAGCTACACCAGAAACAGAATCTGCCACGTGAACCCCAACCAACCAGTTCCTCTGGTTTTGCTACCCCACAGAAAGATGGCACTTGCTTCCAGCTGGCTGCACCCCTCTGGGCTCCCCACTCCTCCACTACCCTCCCACCTTCCTTCTGTCCACCATTTTGGAGATAGATCTCAAAGTGTCCCTGCAGAAAGAAGGATGAGTCCAGAAGAAACAGGATGCCATAGCAGTAGGGAGGCAAGAGGATCTCTAGTTCAAAGTCAGTCTGGGTTACAAGTCAAACTGTATCAAAAAACCAAAACAAGAAAAAAAAAAAAAAAGAAGTGGACACCCCAGTGGGATCTCAGCATACCATTTTATCCAAGGGATCAACTATTTTAACCCAAGAAATTTTACGGTGGTCCAGCTGAATGGGTTCACAGAGCAGTATGTGAGTACTAGACAGGTTCTCAGTGGGGATGGGGGTAGAGAGGGGTCACAACTCCTCAGAGCCAAATGGGAAGGCTGTGGAGCCGGCTCCAGGGGTCCCTGTGCCTGCCCACCACACCCACCCTCGGTCTGCCCTGCTAGAGGGAAGCAGTGCAGACCCCCTCAGACAAGCCTGAAGCATGCCTGGCATCCCTTTACACAGTCTTTCATGTGGGCTGGCTTTCGCCTCCACCCTGCATCTGGTTCACACTGTGAAGTTTTAGGAAAAGAGACTACAATGGGGAAAACATTTAGAAATCCTGGAAGAGACAGACAGAATCCCGAGGCGTCCCTTCACATCCCCGGACACAAGGCTGGGAACAGTGAACTTGGTAAAATGAGCATCAGATAAAGGCATAGAGAGTAACACAGCAGTTCCCTTTATCTGAGGGTTTGCTTCCCGTGGTTTCTATTAGCCTCAATCCAGAAATGTCTTAGGAAGCCAAAAAAAAAAAGCAGCAGAAGCAGTAGCAGCCACCTCCACCATGCACGGTGCACCTTACAATCCCAGCACCCAGGAGGCAGAAGGGTCACGGCAAGATCGAGGCCAGCCTGGGCCACACTGGGTTTCAGACTAGACTGAACAGACAGTGAGGTCCTGCCTCAAAAGAAAAAATTTTATTTTATAACTGTTCTACATTATTATTATTGTTAATCTCTTACTGTGTCTAATCTACAAATTAAACTTTATAACAGGAATGTCCACACGGGGAAAACATATATATGGTCCAGTACTATCCACACTTTCAGGCACTCGTCCCCTATGGATAAAGGGGACTATAGTATCACTGATAAGATGAGCCAACGTCTACTTTGTCATAGTTTGGGAGAAGTTATTCTGTCCCCCAGGAGAGTGGTGAAAGCAGTGGCTCTTCCCTAGCACCCTGGGAACTACACGTTTGATTAACCATTTGCCACAGGTCTTACTATACATGAGCCATCCCAGACCAAGTCCACACAGCTTGAATCTTCAAGGATGACACTGGACGGGAAGTCTCACCAGTGCTGGAAATGGGCCTGTCCCTTTCAGGTTCACAAGGCCAAACATGGCTTTTCAGGGCACCTGTGACTCTGCTAGCAGTATCCGGGCTGCACCTGGCAGCCCCAGGTGTCAGGGGGTGGGGAGAAGCACCTGCAGCTCTCTGGAAGGCATCCACAGCACTCTCCAGCCCAGCTTGAGTCTGCCGATTGCACCGGGTCCCGATCTGGGTGTAGAGGGCTCCAATGTTGAACAGGATGCTGGCCTTCTCCAGAAGCAGGTTCTGCTGGCTGACCGGAACACCAGTGAGCGAGTCATACCTATTCAACAGAAATGTGTTCTGAGAATACAGGGCCACTTGGCTAGATAATGCCAGTCTGGGTGAACTTGGGCAAATTTATTTCTTAAATAAAATCCAAAGATATATGTATGTGATGAAACTTTTGTTGCCAAGCAAGATGACAAGTCTGATCAGCCTGATTAAAGACTCACCACAGCCACAGAAATAAGGCCTCTTCCCTGGGTATGGTGGTGCATACCTGTAATCCCAGCACTCTGGGAAGCTGAGGCAGGAAGATAGAAAATTCAAGCACAACTTGGGCAACTGAGAGACTTTAGCAAGACCCTAGCTCAAAATTAAAAATTGAAAAAAGGGTGGGGAGACAGTTCCATGCAAAGGCCCTACGTTCAATCTCCAGTTCTGGGGGGAGGGGGCAAGAAGGCCTCTTAAGCAAGACGCCCCTTGGCAAGTGAATGCAGAAACAAACTGGTAGATCCAGAGGATGGGATGTAAGTCAACTCTTAAAAGAAACAAGCTAGCAAACCATGAAAAGGCCTCAAGGAACAAATGCTACCACTGAGTGAAAAAAGGCTGTCTACTGTCTGACTCTAACCATGCGACATGGGAGCAAAGGCAGCATTACGGAGACAGTGAAAAGGTCAGTGGTGCTAGGAGCTGGAGAGGGTGTGTAGCGCAGTGAAACCATTCTGGAGGGTACCGCAGTGGGGAAGCAGGTCTTCATCAAAACCCAGAGAGTATGCAACACCCAGAGGAAACCTCACAAACTGTGGACTCCGGCTGATAAAGATGTGTCAAGGTGTGTCCATCCCTTGTGACAAACCCCAACCTCAGCTCAGTGGCAGAGGCACGAGTGGTAGGGGCACCAGGCATGTACAGAGAGAAGGGAGAAGGCAACTGTCTATGCTTTCTGGTCAACTGGCTGTGAACCTACAAGTGCTCTTAAAAATGAGTGCTCAGAACCTACAACTGCTCTTAAAAATGAGTGCTCAGAAAAGAAAGGCCTTGGGTTCAGTTCCCAGTACACCAAAAGGAAGAACCAAAAAAAGGAGCTTAAATAAACACACATATATGAGCAATTTCTAACCCCTTATAATTACTCTTCAAGTGTAAGACTCAGGATTTTTTTTTTTTTGCACCAGGGATCAAACTCACTACCTCATGATTTTACCACTGAGCTAAATCCCTCCCCCCCCAGCTAAATACGCCTACAATGACCTTTGAAAATACCAACTCTGAGGCTGGGGATTTAGCTCAGCAGCATAAGCGCCGGCCTTGCAAGCATGCGGTCGGTGAGTTCGATCCCTGGTACCAATAAAAAAAAAAAAAAAGAAAAGAAAATACCAACTCTGGAAAAGAATCAAAGGTTCTGCTTCAGTTTTTAAAATCTATGTTTGCTATACATAGGCACAAAACCTAAACCCCACGCACACCCCATAGTCCTGTCGCGTCTAGAGAGAGACTCTTGTTTCCCACTGGTTCAACTTCAGTGCTCCAGCATCTCCCCATGGACATAATGAGCCTCCCCCACGAAAAACTCTCCCTTGGCTCCCCTGTTCCGAGATGCAGGCAGCCACAGTCTACTGGAGCCTTACTTGTGATCCCCATCATAAATGTCCATCTGCTGGCACACCTTACCCCACTGCTGTACACACACCACAGGCAGAGAGAGGGGACTGCAGTGCAGGACAGCCGGGGGTGGGTCAGGATCTAGGAAAGCACCTGCACAGACCTCAGGCACCTACCAGGTAAACAAGAGCCCCAAGTGGCAGGTGGGCGGGAAGAACCGGCTCTCTACAAAACCCAGCTGGAGGAAGTAGCTCATCAGCAGTTCAACCCCCGCCTCATTCCGGCTGGGCGTGCGACAAGCCTGGAGGGGGGACACAGGCAGAGGCATGAGCAGGACAGGAGCGCTGACCACCGTGCGCTGCACACAGGGTGTGGCTGTGGGCTCTGCTGCAGCATCCTGAACTGAGCAGGGCGGCAAAGGGCTTGAGATGAAGTCGGGAGTTCTGGGGTCCTCCCCAGGCGTAGCACAGTTGGGACAGTTTTCTTAGGCAGCAAGTGGGCTCAGTGACTCCATCCTGCCACATCCAACTGTCCTCAGCTCTCTGGTACCATGAGTGTCCTGAGGACTCGACAAGGAGCAGCAGCCGTCCTCCCAGTTCTGCACAGGAAACTTACCTGCCTCAGATCCATCAGATCTGCAATTTCGTCTTCATACAAACAACCATCTTCACTGTAATGTTCCAGGATAAAATCCTTGAAGAAAAATGATCAGACTCTGTAAGATGCAATCTAAGGGTCCCAGGCTGCCACTCTGAGGCAGGGTACCTGCATGGGACCTTGGCTTCCTACCAGCCCCAGCACCAAAATAAAACCAAACACAGGAAAGAGAATGCAATTCAAAAGCACGGATCTGGCTAGGCACTGGGGCACACATCTATAATCCCAGCACCATGGGAGGCTGAGGCAGAGGAATCCAAAGACTAAACCCAGCCGAGATAATTTAGAAAGAATCTATCCCACAAATAAAAACTGGAGATATAGTTCAGTGTCAAAGGCCTGAGTCAGTGAATCCCCTTATGCACACAGCACACTACTGAAAGCTGTCTGAGAGAGCCTGCAGAGTGCATCAGGTACCACTCACTAAAACAGATTTCCAACTACCACACACTCGGTCATGATCTTCTGAGTGCAAGGATTTATTTTTTTAATGTTTCTAAAGGTTACCATTTGTTGCTCTGTAAAATACTGAAGCTATTTTTTATTGAAAAACATCTTGACAACATAAAACACGTCTGGCAGATACCACACACATTCAAGGGCTCAGAAGATCTCTACCTCTGGCATCCCCTTACGCAGAGGATCCCCCACATAAAGGAAATCTGTGTCTGGTGATGTGATGATCCTCCCTCAGGATGCACCTTTGTGAGGGTGGCTCTGGCACTTCTAGAAGGGAACACCCTAGGAAGACTCCTAAGCCCAAGTTGGGTCCCCAAAAACCCAGTGACTGACAACTGCTCTGAGTTCATTCAGTCATTCAACAAACATTGACAGGCACTTGCAATGTGCTAGGTAGTGTGCAAAGAGCTTTCTGTTCTCCCCATCGGAGCTTATATTCCCACAAGGGAGACAGACAACACTAATGGACACAATAAGTAAACTGGTACACAGGCAGCCTTTCCCCAAAGCAAGGAACCACTAGTGCTTCCAGTTCAGATTTTGGAATATCTGCATATACACAATAAGATATGCGAGCCAAGTGAAACACAAAATCCATATGCTGTTTCATATATATTTTTAACATGAAGCCTGAAGGTAATATTGTATTATTTTTTTGGATACCAGGTATTCCTTTCCTGCTCTCACCACCCCCTCCAACCCTCAAGCTGATAAAATGACTGGAACCAGCTCCTTTATAATACAACAGCCATATGTAAAACAGTCAAAATTATTCCTTTCACAATAGCAACAAATGTCTGATCTTCTTGGAGATAAAGTTAATTTAGTTAAGCAGACAACTATTTCACTTTACTAAAGGGCATAACATTCCATTCACTCTTTCATTTATTTCTTAGTTTTTCCCAGTTGTGGGACTTGAATCCAGGAGCATTCTACCAGAGCTACAAACCCAGCCATTTTTTATCTTGAGACAGGGTCTCCCTAAATTGCCCAGGCAGGGCTTCGAATTGTGATCCTCTTGCCTCAGCCTCCCAGAGTACTGGGATACAGGCATCCACCAATCTAACCTGACATCCGTTAAATCATTTTTGGAGGATACAATCCCCACTACTGTAAAATGTACTATTTGTTGGCCTCAATGATTGGATATATTATTCTATCCAAAAAAAAAATATCCAATATTGTAAAGATGCAATTTGTCCAAAACATGGAAACAAAAATGGAGGGGGAGCCAAAAAATATAGGAAAGGCACAGTAACAAAAGAGGCTGGCTCTAACAGGAATGAAAACACACAGACAGGGACCAGAGGCAGACTGCAGGAGACTGAAGAATCAAGTAGACAGCAATGCCAGCAATGTCCCCAAAGGAACACAAAAAGCCACTATCACTACCAGCTCTGCAAGGGACCAGCTCTGCAACTGGATGTTGGAGCCTGGGAACTACATGCCTGTAGGCTATTTCCCCAAAAGACAGCACAGCCATGGGGTCAACAGCAAGGAGGGGCCACACAAACGGTGGTACTGCAGGGAACTTACGGAGGGGACTGCTCCTGTTACAGTGGTGTGGGCAGAGTTAGGGAAGCCACGGGGGCAGGGCTCTCGAATCCATTAGAATAGAACTCCGGGACTGAGGACTCAGCTCAGCGGGAAGGCACTTGCCTAGCACACTCAAGGCCCTGGGCTGGATTCCAGCACACAAAACAAAAAACGACAAGAATCACTGAACCCCAGCAGCTGGAAGGCACAGGGAGAGCAGCACTTCGGGAACTCCACAGGTGGCTACCCAGGTAGGCATCCAATAGCCCACTCACAGATGTCCAGCTGCAGCTCCTGGGCCTACTGAACAGGAAGCCACCTCAGGAGCCTATTGATGCCTGCCCAGCAGGAAGAAGACGACGAAAGAGGAGGGAGTAGAAAAGACCTGGTCAAGGGACCCGGTCTGGTCTGACCCCCACAAGGCCCTCCCCAGGGAGGCCCTGATTAGAGGAGAAGATCAGGAGGGCCAGAGAGTAAATACATCAGTGAGCAAGTTACAAAGCTCACTAGGAGGAGTTTTTTACAAGTCTTGGTATTTTCTGAATATTCTGCACTAATGTTTTCTGGGTTTTTTTTTTTTTTCCAGTTTTTGTTTCTTTTTTGATCTTTTGACACAGGATCATAGTCCAAGCTAGCATTGAATGCAAAATCCTCCTACCTCAGCCTCCAAAGTGCTGGGATCACACATATATGCCACCATGCTTGGCTTACAATAATGTTCTTAATCAGCGGGAAAAACAAAACAAAACAAAAACCTGTTTAAAGGCAAAACAGAGAAACAAAACCTTCCAATCTCTAAAAAGGGAATTATTTTATCTTATTTTATTTTTTAAGACAGGCTCTTACTATGTAGTCCAGGGTGGCCATGAACTCACTTGTAAACCCATGCTGGCCATGAACTCAAGGCAATCCTCTTGCCTCAGCCTCCCAAGTGCTGGTCTTACAGGCATGTGCTACCACACCCAGACATGATAGTGCTTTTTAATGTGGCGATTTAAACCTTATTTCTTAGCCAAAACAGGAGTACAGGAGGCCAACTCCCAGCAGTCAGAGGCAGGACAGTGAGTTCAGGGCCAGCCTACACTACAGAGGGAGACCCTGTCTCAAAAAGCAAACACACAAATAAAGCCCTTCTCTTTAAAAGAGAACAAAATCACACCATGAAGCTATCCTGGCCTTAAACATTCTGTGGAATTTCTGTGGAATTCAGTGCATAGAACCCCTTCTCTGGGGCCTAACGTTTCTCTCAAGCACAAATGTGCAAAGCAAAACAGACAAACAGTGCCCCAAACATTCTCATTTTTGGATGTCTGACATCTGTAGAGTCCCTTTTAGGCTAAAATGACATGGTTAGAAGCCATGCTGAGTAGCAGTTAGCCGTGTCCACAATGTGGGAATTTTTCTCCTGCTTTAATATGGAATTCACCATGTGACCCACTTGGATCCTTATAGATGCTCACAAAATACCCAATTTTCTTCAACAGAATCCTTTAAAATGCCTGTATTCCTGTAGCTCTGGCACCAAGCAACAGACAAGTAAAATCCTAAAGAAATGACTATAAATACAACTAAAAGCTTTCTACAAATATATGGGTAGGCTCAAACCCCACGAATCAGCGACCAGTTATATATGGAAGTGCAGGCAGCCTTGAGAAACCAGCACAAAGATGCCGTCTCTGAGATGTTTTCTACCCAGAAAAATCAACTTTCTGTCAAACCCCAGTCCTGAAATACAACCAACTGCCCTTCTCCCATTCCAGCCAAACCTCTGACTTCCAGAGAGGTCTGTAACCTAGATTTAAACAAAACTGCAGCACAAGAGGCCCCAGGCAAAGGGCAAATACAGTGCAAATGCTTTCGAAGCATTAACTGCTCCCCCCACCCCCAGTACTAGTGATGGAATCCAGAACCTTCACACGGGGTTAAGCACCCCACCTGTGCCCCACCCCAGCCTTTTTTTCTAGTGGGGGGAGGGGGGACCAGGTCTTACTAAATTGCCCAAAGTAGGAATGGATTTGCAATTCTACCTCAGCTTTCCAGAATGCTGAGATTACAGGCCGGTATCACCACGCCCAGCTTCTAGCTGCTTTCAACAGATAAATTTTACAGTGGTCAAAATGTCATGTGATAATCCTTTTTTTTCTCCTTGATTTAAAAGGGTGCAAAATGAGTCACTGAACAGGATTACTGTGGAAAGAAACATACTTCTTTGAAGCATTTCTCACCATGCTGGGATTCATTCCTATCTCTCCTGCCTATGCTGTTAAAGCTCAGAGACAGGCACCACCTTCCCCCTCAATCTCTTCTCTCCTCCTAGGTAGCAGCTGGAAGTGATTCATTATATCCCAAACCGATGACAGGGTTGGGAGTGTTGCTCAGTGGTAAGAGTGCACACTCAGTGTGCACAAGGTCCTGGGTTCAGTCTAGGTCCTGGATTGAAAAACACCCCCCAAATGCAACCTAAACGTCAAATGGAGGAAGGTGAGTGGAGGTTTGGAACATTCTAGGCACAGAACAGCCTTCTGACCTAGGCTGGAAATACAGCCTCTGATGTGAGCCTCCACCAAAGTCACTGTCTATCCGGGCCTCCACTGACCCCAAGGCACAGTTTGTGGCATTTCCAGCACCCACACAATGCCAGGCACAGGTGGGCCTATTAAATACCTGCTAAATGAAAGAGGAGCTCGGATACTCAGGAATTAGATAGGGGAGAAAACAAACCCAAAATGCTATTCAAGTACTGAAGAGTAGCAAATTGACATCTTTCATTTACTTTTAAACGTGTCCCAGAATCAGATGGACTGATGGATACAAAGGAAGATGCATAAATGGACAGATAGCCAATAAAGCAAGATGTTTTAGGTACATGGCGATAAAATAAAATGTTAATGGTAGAGTCCACATAGTGAATATATAGGGGTTCACTACAGAAGTCTTTCAGTTTTTCCCTAAGTTCAGAAATTTTCCATAATAAAATGTTTGGGGGGGGGGGGGAGACGGACTTAAACTGGTCTTTCAAACACCTGGCCTAAACTGCTTACACAATTTTAAGAATAAAGATACTAATAAAAAAAAAATAAAGACACTAGTACAGGGTAGTTTTTAAATTCCAAAGCATACCCACACAGAGCCCCTTTGACTTGGCTTTCCGCACAGTCCTGGGACCACAGCCCAGCTTTGGAAGCTGCCACAGATGAAAGCCAGAACATGTTCCTGTTCTTTGCAGCAGGCCTAGATGGTCCGAGTCACCCTGCAGACTCCAGGGCACCCTTGGCACATGCAGCCTAAAGCCACTGCAAGGAACGCAGAAGTCCTCCGTCTCCACTCTGAACTCTGAGCCCAGGACCTCGTGCTTGGAGATTTACCTTGAGGACGACTGAAAAGTCAACATCTTTGGTCTCCTTCAGGCCAAGAGGAATCAAGGGAATTGTAAATGCCTCCCTGCAAGGAACACACAAGGTAATATGAGCACCCCAACCCAGCCACTGTGCACCCCGCAGCCTTGCCCCAGCAGCCCAGCCCATCCTATCCTGTCCCTACAGCTCTCGTCAGGCCAGTCCAGCACACTCCCACTGACAGGTTGGTATTCCACAGACAGCTCTGGTCATCCCCTTCCTCCTGTATGGAAGGCATCCCTGCTCCCTGCAATGGCTGAATGCCCCAGGCGAGTACACAGGTCCGTACTGTCTCTCCAGTCATGTGTTGAGCATGCTGGGAACCCATGTGCACCAGGCCCGTATCTGCCACCTGCCCTGGGTTTGGCAGCTGCTATACTGGTGTCCTTCTGGTCCTCAACCTTAGTCCTCCTCCTCTTCCTCCTCTCATCACAGTGGGTCTCTCCTATCCAATACCCTACCACACCTTGTCCTTTGGGGCACATTACACCAGGTGTCCACTTACCTGTTAGAAGAACACCCATCCGACACTTCAGTACACCCAGGTCCCAGCCCAGGGCCGGACTTGGCCCACCACTTCATCTCCACTCCCAACGCCTCCCACTGACCACTAGGTCACCCCACAGGATGCCCTGGGAGTGCTCCCTGAACCCACATTCCTAGGGGCAGGGCCGGCAGGAAGTGGACCAGTGCAGCCTATGTTTTGCAAAGAGAGATTTAGCTCCCTGACCTGTAACAGGAGACCTCTGGCCCAGCCCAGAGAGCAGGCCAGGAATGCTAGGCACGGTGAGTGGACAATGGCTGTAAACCGAAACTGCCACTGTGGCACAGCTGTGCTAAGTGCAGGTGAGACACAGTCCAGGTATATGGCTTCCCCCAAACCTGCCTGGAGGCTGGAGTCTGGTGGAGGGACCCCAGGGCAGGCCAGGACTCGCTCCTCCAGGTACCAGTGCCATCCCTCCTTAGCAGGTACCGAGGACCCAGCACCAAGGTACCAAGACCCAGGGTAGTGCTGAGTTTTCTCATTTGCACCTGAGACCATTTCTTCCCTGCCTGCCTCACGAAAGTGTTTAAAGACCTACAGTTGTAGGCGGGAAACATTTTGAGACACTTTTTTGGTTGGGGGCACCTAAGATTAGAGAAGCAGGAGGAAGGTACAATGCTGACTAGGACAAAATGATGTCTGTCCCACTGAGTCACAGCTGCCACTGGTGCAGTACCAGGGGAAGGATGCATCAACGTTTTCCCTCAGCACCATCTACCACAGCCTGGCCCCACTGCCTGGGGGAACACCTGTGTACTTGCCAAGGACAGATACAGCTGTGAAAAGTGCTAGACCAGAGGACGCGAACACAAGGTATTCCTGGGAATCTGTACATCTTCCTCACTAAAATGACAGAGTGGACAGACCGAGGCCACTCCAGAGCCATACTAACCACAGAGGGGCACTGACCCTTGTGATGGACACAGAAAATGCGAGTATCAAACAACCTCCATTTATTACCCAAGTTTGCCCCACTCATGAGGAACTGGACCTTTTAGGCAAACAGTAGAATTTAACACGTGCACCTAGGCTGAGAGAATCTTTTGTGCACTGCTGAGGATCGGGCTTTCAAAGTACCCTGGGAGCCCACAGGCAAGGCGGCAGGGACAGGCACCAGAGACAGGGCCAGCAGGGTTCTGGCTGGGACCCTGCAGAGGTTTAGGTTCCAAGGTGACTCCAGGTCCCCATCTTCCTTCTGTTAACCCAGTGAAATACTGTGTGCTTCAGTTTCCCTGGGAGCCCACCCACTTTTTGAGATGCCTCCCTTCCCTGAAAGAAAAATATATAAACCTTTTTTGGAGTTATTACTTTTTAAACAGAGGTTTCTACCACCTCCCTTCCACCCCCCACCCCCACCCCAAAAAAGTAGCTCATGGAAGACTTTCTGGGCTTTTTGACAGCCACACCTCAATATACTGTCACCTACAAATACTCCCTGAGGAATGCTCTGCAGAAGAACATTCATTTCTCAAATACTTAACAGGATATATTTCAGAAATGTCTCCATTACAGTCTTCTTGGCGACTTGGTGGCTCCCCAAATCTTTGTGTAAAGCACCACTATAAATGTAGTTTTGACTCTTTTGCATCAAGAAAAAGACCAGGGGCAAGGCCTGTGCTTGGTAGAAGGCTGAGGGGACACAGCCAGGCCACACAAGCCCCTCTGGGAGGCCAGCTCTCACAGCTACCCACAGAGGCATATCTGGGACATCTTTCTGCACAACCACCATGCGGCCCCCGTGAGAGATCCAAGCTCCTACCTAGATCCAGACACAATTCTCTGTAAAACACGTCCAGGGGCCCCCAGGACAAATATCTTTTTGTCCAATTCAGGTATTTCCCATGCAATTCCGCAGACTCACCCCTTTAGCCTGGCACTTATCTCCAGCCCAAATCCAGTCACTGCCTCACTTTCTGCACTGAAAACCACCAGCCTCCCCCATGAACCCCCTCAGAGGCAGGTGTGTACTTACTCTGTGCTCTGGTACACTCCCACCGAGATGTTGAGCCCCTCCAGCTCCTCCTTGAGCATCTGCAGGTCTGAGTTGACGAAACTCAGCTCAAGGCGCACCTGCTCCCGCACCTTCTGGTTCGTGGCTACTCTAATGGAAGAGAAGAAAGAGAGAAGGGGCCTCAGCCAAGCATCCCAGGTGCCAGGTGCAGACCCAATCCCTAACCCCAGTAGGGCCACCTGCAGAGGAGTCCCAGTCTGAGATGCACCTGCCCCACTGCAAGCCATGACTGCCGGGAAAGGGACCTGGGGAGGTAGCAGATGACACTGTGAGCTTACATACAGGAATCCTAAGATCTCTGCAACAAAATAACCTTGAAAAAAGACTGCTCCCAGTCACCCCCTAAAGGTCCATAAATGATTCCCTTCAAAGGACTCAGCTAAGCCTACAGGCTCAGTGGCACACTCCTGTAATTCCTGGGAGGCTGAGGTGGAAAGATCTCTTGGTCCCAAAAGTTCAAGAACAGCCTAGGCAACAAAGTGAATGCCAGGTGTGGCAGAATATTCCTGTAATCCCAGGTCAGAAAGCCGAGGCAGGACAATCATGGTGAGTTTGAGGCCAGCTTAAGCTCTATAGTGAAACTCTGTCTCAAAAAATTAACTCTGAACTGCATAATGAGACCCTATCTAGAAAAAACAAAAAAAAAATTAAACAAACAAACAAAAAAAGAAACTATTGTTTCAATGGAGATGGGGGGGATTCTCCATAAACAAGGAGTAAAAGAATTTACAAAACCTCACAAAAGGCATCTACAAAAACAGACAGCTAACCGTACTTCCTGGTGAAAGGCTGTTTTCCCTTTCTGAACAGGCAGCCAGGTCTGCTCTTACCACTTCTTGTCATTGTTGCTGTTTTTGTGGTCTAGGGACTGAACCCAGAGCCTTCATATTGAGCTACACACACACACACACACACACAACACACACACACACAACACACACACCCTTTTTTTTTTCTTTTGAGACATGGTGTCACTTAGTTGCCCAGGCTGAATTCCAACTTGCAATCCACCCGCTTGAGCCCTCCACAATGCTGAGACTCCAGGTATGTGCCACCACCTATGGTTCTGCTTTGGTCACCTCTAATCAATACTATATCGGGATCCAAATAAAGAAATGAAAGGCACCCAAATTGTAAAGGAAGAAATAAACCGTCTTTACTCATAAATGGCTTTATCTTTTCTTTTTGTGGTGTTGGGGAGGGTGGTTTGGCATTTTATTAGTACACTGGCAGTACATAATGAATACATTCCTTGTGGGAGTTATACAGTATGTAGAAAACCCCAAGGCACCCACAAAACAAACATTAGAACCAACAAATTTAACAAAGTCATGGTACAATCAGTATACAAAACTTGGAGCTCAGGACATGGTTCAGTGGTAAAACCATGGCCTTGAGTATGATCTCTAGCACCAAAAAAGAAAAGGGGGTAAAAATACATATAAATCACTGCCAGCTGGGTTGAGTGGCACATGCCTATAATCTCAGGACTCTAGGAGGCTGAGGCAGGAGGATTCAAAGTTTCAGCCCACCTTGGTAAATTTGGTGAGATCCTGTCTCAAAACAAAACAAAACAAAAGGCTGGCAATGTGAGTGTTAAGGCCCTGGGTTCACATTACTATAATCAAACAAAAAATTCGATTTCTATATATTAGCACTGAACAATCTTAAACTGAAATTGAGAAACTATTTCATTCACAAAAGCATCAAAAAGAGTAAAACACTCAGGAGAAAATTTAACAACAGTACAACAAGATTTGTACCTTGAAAACAGTGCTCAAACATTAAATGGAGAGTTACTATAAATGTAAGTATTAGAAGACTCATTATGACCAAAATGTTAAGTCTCAGCCAGGCATGGTGGCACATTAGTGCTGTAATCCCAGCACTAAGAAACTGAGGAAGGAGGATCACCATGAGTTCAAAGGCGGTGTAACTATACAGTGAGTTGAAGGGCAGCCTGAACTGCATAGTGAGACCCTGTCTCAAAAAAATAAGACCAAACACAAAAACAAGTCCCCAGTTGTTTTACTGATCCAATACAATCTCAATCAAAATCCCATAAACTTTGTAGTAGAAATTGACAAACAAATCCTAAAATTTACATGAAGATGCAAACAACCTAGAATAGCCAGATTATTTTGAAAAAGACCACCAAATTTGGAGGACTTCTTATATTTCATTTTAAAACTTACTACAAAGCTACACTAATCAAAATACAATGGAGCACACACTGGAAGACAGTCCAAAAACAAATCTTTACATTTATGGTCAACCAAATGTGACAAATGAAAAATAAAGTTCAACAAAGATCAACCTCAGCTCACTGATTCAGCAGGACTCTCAGGACTCTGAGATTCATCAGACTAAAGGACAGAAACAAGCCAAGTATAGCAACTCAGGTCTATAATTGCAGCACTTGGGAAAGCTGAGGCAGGAGGGTCTCAAATTCAAGCCCAGTCAGTCTGGACAATTTATTGACTTAATGAGACCCTATCTCAAAAGAGAAAAACAATTTTATAAAAAAGCATTATGAAGGAATGTAGTTCAAGGTGAAGTCGCTGAGTTCAAGCTCCAGTATTGAAGGGGGAGGAAAGGGAAAGAGCATAAAGAAAGGAAAGGAAAGGATACAATACGAACAAAGTCAGCAAAGGGACAGAACCAACAGGCTCATGGGATGAGGTATGAAGACGGCCAGGCACAGGTTTCTAAGAGTCCTTTCCCAGGGAAGTCACACAGAATGTGCATAATCCCCCCAACAATAAGTTATAAATATATATATATATGCAATGTCACCTACAAAAAAAGCTCCTTAGACACAGCACCCAGAACTTGTACTAGGGGCTAATCAGAGAAGCACCTCTACTTAGCAAAATTCAAAAATTCCAGGTTCCAGAAGGAAATCAGGCCGCTCAGCATAAACCACATCATTTATAGAAGCAGCTTAGGTACAGTGAGCTCACTTGCCAGTCTGGGAAAGAGGAAACCCTACTAAAATCTAAATTTCCAGATGCCAGCTATGAGCCAACCTTGCAAACAGGTCTTTCTAAGGATAGCAGCCTCAGGCTTGCTGTGTGAATTCTTTTCTGCACGAAGGACAAAAAAATTAACCTTAATCTAACTCTCATACCACACACACATCAAAATGGTTAGAATATAACTTAAGAGCTACACCTCTAAAACTTCTAGGAGAAAATACAGGTCAGGCATGGTGGCACATGCCTATGATCCTATCAGTGGGTAGGAGGAAGATCATGAGTTCAAGGCTAATGTGTGTTACACAGTGAGTTCAAAGCCAGCCTGAGCTGCAAGGTGAGATCTTGTCCCCAAAAAACCAAACAAGTAAGCAAAAAACACAACAACAACCAAAAAGAAAATATAGGAGAGAATCTTCATGATCTTAAATCGGGCAACAAATTCTTAGTTATACACCAAAAGCACAACCCGTAAGAGAAGAAACTGATAACTTGGTCACTATCAAATTTTAAAACTTCTGCACTTCAGAAGATATCACAAGAAAATGGAGGGCTGGGCCGGAAATTTAACTCAGCAGCACAGTGCCTACCTGGCAAGCACAGGTCCTGAGTTTGAGTCGTGGTGCCAAAAAAAAGAGAAAGAAAGAAAAGGAAAGGAAAGAAGAAAACGAGGGAATGGACATGTGGCTGAGTGGTAAAATGTGGGTTCAGCCTTTGTGAACACCCGGCTTCAACCCATAACACAGAAGGAAGGCAGGCAGGCAGGCAAACGGGCACAGACTGAGGAAAAACAGCTGCAAATTATGTATCTAATCATTTGCATGCAGAAAATATAAGGAACTCTGTTAATTAAATAAGCAGACCATTCAGTTTTTAATCAGCAAAAGATCTGACAGACATTTTACCAAACATACACAAAGGACTAAAAAAGCACATGAAAACAATACTCAGTATTAGTCAGCAGAGAAATTCAAATTAAAATCATAATGTGATGCCAATACATAATTCGACCGCCACTAGATTGGCTAAATGATACTAACGTGTTAATGAGGACATTGGAGAAACCGGAACTGCTGGGTGGAAACAGAAGGGCCACTTTAGAAAACAGTTTCCTGCTTCTAAACAGTTTTCTGTTTATCATTTCTACAAATGTTAAACTTACAATATAACCTAGAAGTTCCACTCCAAGAAATCTATATAAAGATCGGGCATGTAGCTCAGCGAGCTCAGTGCCTGCCTGGCAAAGCACAAGGTCCCAAGTTCAATTCCCATTACCAAAAAAATAAAAATAAGAAATCTACACAAGAGACATAAAATATGTGTACCTAAAGACATGTATACGCATGTTCACAGTAGCCAATGTAGAAACAAAGCAAATATCTGTTAACTAATAAATGCATGACACTCACATGGTATACTCACAGGATAACAGTGTTCAACAACATAGAGCAACAAACTCTACCCAAGTTTTCAAGCAAAGGCTTTGACAGCAACTTAAAGATTTTATAGATGTCCTTCATTGCACAGGTGAGAAATCACAACAAAAATGAGTAACAAGCAGGCACTGAGCCAGATCCATGCCCAACACATGCCCATGAAACACCCCTCTCACAGGGTGCTGGACGGTTGAGGACACTAGAACTCAGCCAGCAGGTCCAGCCATCTGGAGACTGTCTGACCATGCTTCCTCCTCAGCTAGGAAAACCCAGCCAGCTGTCACCTGCTGGCTCAGCTCCTACAATTTTGCCTTTCTCCAGACAGCCAAGCACTGACTTTCTTCCTCTACCATCTGCCTGTCCACTAGGACTTTCCTTCACCTCATCCTCTGGCTGCCCAGAAAGCTTTCACACCTGCGTGTTTGGACTTCCTCAGCCAGGCAGTGAGCTATCAGATACCCGGCTTGGTGAATATCACTGTCTTGGAGATTTCTTCCAGGGTGGCTTGATTACCAGTAAGAAATAACATTTTACATCACAAAGCAGTGCACATGAGGCAGGCAAGCACAACCCTGAAACAAAGCCTTTTGCTTGAAAGCAAAAGGCGTTATGCACTCTAACACAGTCTATTCTACAACACCTTCTTTTAAAAAATGATGTGTGCAACTCATCAATTTTT